TAACTGGAGAAACAAAACAACAGCATCTACAAAACAGAAAGTTTATAAAAGTCATTTCATTAATGTTCATATGTTGGGTTTGTGTATGTTGGGGTAGAATGGGTTTAGTTCAATACTTCAAGTACAAAACAAAATAAGTCCTAAAGATATTTCTGTCTGTTTGCTAGCATAAGAAAAAAGTATTCTCTAATGGCAATGATTTTTCATACCCTGTCAATAAAGTAGCTCCATGGAATTTTATTTTTCTACAATTGAAAATTCATCAACAATCATTGTCAAGAATATCATTTTTTTTAATTAAAGTAAAAAATATAAATTGCACATTATTGAAACATCAATTACAACCTCGTCAAAAAATTCCTTTGTGTAAATTTTTTTTCAAAAGAAGGAAAAAAAAACTACATAAGAAATAGATAACGAATTTCTTCTCTGGAGAATAGTGTTACAAAGAAACTTCAATAAAACGAGTCTTATGATTTATAGCTCCGTCTGTATATAAAAGACCTCGACTTAAATTGCAACATTACACTGCAGCATAGTTACATAACAACAAAAAACTCCCTCCCGATCTTAATATTACATTTGTTAAGAGACCAATATTGTTTGGTTGCACAGTTAATGGTTAATAAAAATCGCCCCTGTGCATTTCAATCAAGTACATATATCATTAAGCGAAACAGGTGTTTTTACCTTTAAGAATCCACCGAAGAAAGATGTAAATTAATAGTTGAACAGCTTTGAAACATGTAAAATTCGAAAGTTAGAACAATATGGAAACTTTGTTTAAGAAATAAGCATTCTATCTTTGGTTAAAAAATGTAGAATATTTTAGCAAAAGTAAATAAGCGACTACTTTTTAATAAAAAAGTGCAAAGGGGGGGGGGGCTTATAATTCATAGCAAACCATTTACCTGGCGGAATTTGTGTGTAGAACCTGTTAGTTATCTACTTAAAAATGCTGCATCTATAAATCCTTATCAAGTGTCTTTGAGTAAAAACAGAACTAATTAACAAAATACTTAATGGTCATTAAAACAAAACGATTTTCTGTCCTTTTCAACGATTTCTATTTTCATTTTATGTCAGAAAAAAAGAATACAATCAGAATTAACTTCTAAATGGACACAAACAGAAGCAATAAAGACTAGGTATTGTAAGATTGTATCAGTCTTTCTTTATTTTATCTTTATTCAATAAATATAAGAAACCTGGAAGTTCTCCAATAACTAGATATTATTAGGAAAAAAGAAATTATTATTTTTCTTAAGAATCTTCGAACTGGGACAAGAATTGGGGAATATGTTGGAAAGAGTTATGGCTTTCCGGTGATGAGAAGCCAGTGTAATACTTCTCAGGGGGTGTGATGTTCATCGCGTGGTTTTTGGTACAAGGATACCACATAAACCTAATCTGGTCCCCAATTTTACGGAGCGCCCCCTACCGGGGTTGCCAAGGAAATAGGTTTATTGTCCATCAGACGGGCGAAAATTGCATCAATATTTTAGCGAGTCGGCCGTAAAGTATATAATTTGGTTCTAACTAACGTGTAATACATTGATTAAATTACGTCTGGTTATAAAAAATTAATGACCACCGGGGACGGAGAACAATTCTATAAGATACAGACCTAATTGGTTTCGATTTTTACTCCATGTCTTCAGATTCGTGCGAAAAAACAATGTCCCGTTTTTACTATTGTATGGCATGGCGCTTGAAAACTCGGGGCGGTTACCAAGACAACGTCTCATATTGAGGCTGTCTCATACACAGGACCCAACTGGGCAGCACCAAAGGATAAACTTCTTAAAAAACAAAAACAAACCAAAGCATTAACCCCCACCCCCACCCCCCACCCCCCACAAACACCCAACACAAATCGAATAAACAAAAACAAAAGAAAAAGAAGTAAAATGCAGTTCTATCGGCAAAATACAAACGTTGCTAGAGGTGCAAGTTAAGTCTCTGGCGTTTATAATGACCCGAGGATTTGAAAATCAGTTTAGGTTCATGCTCTGTAGAATACATATAGGTTCTCATCTGGGTTTTCATATTTGACCAATGACGTCTTCCTATAGGAGTGAAATATTCTGACCCCAACATTCCTTATATATTTCATCAATAATGAGCATTACTTTTGTTTGTTTACTTATGCAAGTATAGCACGTGCTTCCAGGCTGGTTATCATTCTCATAATAAAACCACTAAATAAAACGGACATTTATTTACTACATCTATATTTTAAATTCTGCCTCTTGTTTCATTCTGATGTTTGTGTAATGAGCAATAAATCATATTTTAGAAATAAAACATCCATCAGGAAACATCCATCGGGAAATACATACGGATTGGTCACGTGATCAAATCCTATGAAGCATGGAGCGTTCCAACCCGTATTTATATTCCAGTAAATGTCTTATTACCTATCTTTACATTTATGACTGATTTATATAACAAAAATATATATATTATAGTTTTAAACACATGAAATTATTCGTTTTTCAAACCTCAACAATCTAAATTGAATATGTGGAGCACGTCGACCACTTATGACGTCATTATGAAATATCGGAATTATGAAATTATTTTAAAAACAATGAATTTTCAGTCATGTGACAAATCTGTCCAACAGGGGGATTTGAACCCGCGACGTAAGGATCAACTCCTTACTCCGCGACACTAGAGCAGACACCCTAACCACTGCGCCACGGGCGACTGAAAATTGACAATAATTTTAAATCATGCACTCTAGGACCGACATAAAGTATGACAGAGATCGTAAACAGAGTATATCAGAGATTGTTAACAGAGTATATCAGAGATCGTTAACAGAGTATATCAGAGATCGTTAACAAATTATATCAGAGATCGTGAACAGAGTATAACAGAGATCGCTAACAGAGTATAACAGAGATCGTTAACAGAGTATATCAGAGATCGTTAACAGAGTATAACAGAGATCGTTAACAGAGTATAACAGAGATCGTTAAAGTATAACAGAGATCGTTAACAGAGTATATCAGAGATCGTTAACAAAGTATAACAGAGATCGTTAATAGAGTATAACAGAGGTCCTTAACAGAGATCGTTAACAGAGTATAACAGAGATCGTTAACAGAGTATAACAGAGATCGTTAACAGAGTATAACAGAGATCGTGAACAGAGTATAACAGAGATCGTGAACAGAGTATAACAGAGATCGTGAACAGAGTATAACAGAGATCGTGAACAGAGTATAACAGAGATCGTTAACAGAGTATAACAGAGATCGTTAACAAAGTATAACAGAGGTCCTTAACAGAGATCCTTAACAGAGTATAACAGAGATCGTTAACAGAGTATAACAGAGATCGTGAACAGAGTATAACAGAGATCGTGAACAGAGTATAACAGAGATCGTTAACAAAGTATAACAGAGATCGTGAACAGAGCATAACAGAGATCGTTAACAGAGTCTATCAGAGATCGTTAACAAAGTATAACAGAGATCGTTAATAGAGTATAACAGAGGTCCTTAACAGAGTATAACAGAGATCGTTAACAGAGTATAACAGAGATCGTGAACAGAGTATAACAGAGATCCTTAACAGAGTATAACAGAGATCGTTAACAAAGTATAACAGAGATCGTGAACAGAGTATAACAGAGGTCCTTAACAGAGATCCTTAACATAGTATAACAGAGATCGTTAACAGAGTATAACAGAGATCCTTAACATAGTATAACAGAGATCGTTAACAGAGTATAACAGAGATCGTTAACAGAGTATAACAGAGATCGTGAACAGAGTATAACAGAGATTGTGAACAGAGTATAACAGAGATCGTGAACAAAGTATAACAGAGATCGTTAACAGAGTATAACAGAGATCGTGAACAAAGTATAACAGAGATCGTTAACAGAGTATATCAGAGATCGTTAACAAAGTATAACAGAGATTGTGAACAGAGTATATCAGAGATCGTTAACATAGTATAACAGAGATCGTTAACAGAGTATAACAGAGGTCCTTAACAGAGATCCTTAACAGAGTATAACAGAGATCGTTAACAGAGTATATCAGAGATCGTTAACAGAGTATAACAGAGATCGTTAACAAAGTATAACAGAGATCGTGAACAGAGTATAACAGAGGTCCTTAACAGAGATCCTTAACATAGTATAACAGAGATCGTTAACAGAGTATAACAGAGATCCTTAACATAGTATAACAGAGATTGTGAACAGAGTATAACAGAGATCGTTAACAGAGTATAACAGAGATCGTTAACAAAGTACATGTATAACAGAGATTGTGAACAGAGTATAACAGAGATCGTTAACAGAGTATAACAGAGATCGTGAACAGAGTATAACAGAGATTGTGAACAGAGTATAACAGAGATCGTGAACAAAGTATAACAGAGATCGTTAACAGAGTATATCAGAGATCGTTAACAAAGTACATGTATAACAGAGATCGTTAACAAAGTATAACAGAGATCGTGAACAGAGTATAACAGAGATCGTTAACATAGTATAACAGAGATCGTTAACAGAGTATAACAGAGATCAGCATTTACGGTTTTCCGGGTAAGTACTGTCACACTTTCAAAAAACACACAGGACATAGCTTATAAGTGCTTATGCGAATTTATGCAGAAAAACACACTACAAAACAATAGCCAATTAGAATTTATTTACACTCACTAATTATTAAGGTCAAGATCTAGTGAATGAAAGGTGCCCACAGATTTCTCAAGTTTGAGATACACATTCTTCTAATGATCCTTTACGAATATAGCTTGGTAAAATAAAGTGTATCCGGACATAATTTTTGGATAAACTCATCAGAAAAAACATATTATAAACTGCCCATTTTCAATGAAAAATGAAGAAAGTCTGGTATAAATATGGGAGTTTTTTCCATCTCAGACAAAGGAAATGTATCAATATTGCCTACAGTCTCTCAGTAAACGGTTTTTCATATCTTCTTGATCTCTACTTTAAAATGATATTAAGGTGTTTCGCTTCTGACGAATTTGAATACACCGCGCAACTCGAACTGCCGGAAATTGGTCTGAATGTCGTTTTAATAAAGAATTCAGTATGACAGAAAAATAATAGTTTATTTTAAGTAATTATAATAATTATCCGTAGAAAGTAACATAATATTGATTTTTGTGCCAGAAGAAAACATATAATAACTATTTTATATTTCGCGGAAAATTAAGACATGTGAGACGGATTACGATAATGTAAGTAAAAAGCAGACGTGAAGTAACGTTCGGCGCGTAAACTTTGGTTAAGATGGTGAAACCAAAGTACAGACGCCATGGGTTCGTTTCGAAAACGAAGAAGGAGAGATATGAAAAAGTATCTGCAGGGCAATTGACCCGATGGATTAGGGGAGTTATTCTTAGAGACCACAATTACTCCGCCAGTGCAACTCCTGTTAACATTGATCATGATCAAGGTTTGTATACATACGTGTATCATATCTAAAAAAAAACCAGTTTGCACATCTGCATCTATGTTAGATCTATCTTAGAAATATTAAAGGAAGGCACATGATGTCCATTACAGTGCGCCGTTCTAGTCCTTATAACATTTTAAGTCATAGGCCTATATGTTAATTTTTTTTTATAGTTTAACCTACATGTAATAAATATATACATAAGATATATATTTTTTTAATTTACTTTTGCTGTTCATTGCTGTGGTTCAAAGATTATAAAATGTTAAAGCTTGATGAAATAATATACTCATTTGATCCCTTCACATTGTGATGGAAAGTTACATTACAAAACAGTCTGACACAAATTATGCAAAAATGTATGAAAGGTGAAATCTCACAATATTTATCACAATACTGAGATGCAGTTCCAGTGTATCATGATACATAGCAGATGATTAATGTTTAGTAGCTGAATATGGAATTTATTTCACTAGTGGGATAGGATTTTTTTTATATTTTCACAAGTGTCTTTGAAAACACAAATGAAAATCTATTTTAAAAAAAAATCCTGTCTCATGATTGAAATAAAACATTGAATTTTCTGTTGTTACATTTTCTTTGATTTTCCCTTTACCTTTATTCATTAATTGTTTGTATTTTCGTAACACAGTGTGAATAGGCTGTGTCATCATGTATGTGTGGTTGAGATGTCATAGCAAATAAGAGATTGAAAACAAATAAAATGGATTTCAACAACATATTTGGAGAAACTTTGGAAATCTCTATCAGCAAAGGCGGATACAGGGCCAGCCCCCCCCCCCCCCCTTTTGAATTTTTTGTATGTAGAACTTTTATGTCCATTATCCTAAAATCAAGGAAAAAACATCTCTTATTTGTAAGAATTCATCAGCTTCCAGGCCCCCACCAGGGCTTTGCCCTAGACCCACTGGGGGTCAATGCAGTCCCCCAGACCCCCTGCCTTCTACTGCGCCCCGCTGTTATGCAATTCCTGGATCCGCCACTGATCAGGATGGTTTATTTATCTTATAACAGGTCCAGGACTAAAAACAATTACTTTTTTTTTCACTGGCCACTCAGGCTATCGCTTAAATTTTTACTGGTCAATTTTTTAACTCAGCAGTCTAGTACTTTCACTGTCACATTGGGCCAGTAAATTTTAAAAAGACTGGCCCAAAACCATAATAATAGAAATAAATTGTTTATATTGTGTTACTTCTTAGTAAAATGGAACAAAACAGCAGAACTTGGATGCACAACCCTGTCAAGTTAACTATCCCAACACCATGAATGCATGAATTTTGTTATGCATATATGCACATGCTAAATAGCATATACTTACCTCTTAAATGTCAAAAATATGCTGTATATCGGCACTATGAACTGTTGTAAGTGTATCAAAAGTAGTCAACTTGTCAGCATGTGTAGATAGTAAAGAACGTTATGTGTATCCTGGTGATAATTTTTATTTATTCATTCTTTATTAATAGAATTGCCAAATTTAAATATACTGGAAAGAGAGGAGGTGGTGGATGGGGGAGAAGTGACTACATCTGAGGATTGGAAGGAGGGAAGGAGAGTGGTAGAACTTGGAGTGTTAGCTGAGGGCTTGCGGGGATGTTGTAAATGTGGCTTACCATTGCAACTTTCACACACAATTTCTGTACTGACACATGGTTTAGCTTCTTTGTTAAAGGTATAAACTCATAAATTTATGTCCAGTTAGTTAGAAAACAACTTTGAAAGCTTGAAAGGTTTTTTTTCATGGATTTTTCTCAATGTAAAATAGGCATTATTCCATGTCCTTATTAAAAGTTTTGAAAGGTTTTACAATATTTTTTTTATCATATTTGAAATAATGCATATTGAAATTCTTTTTTTCCCCAGCATTTGATATTCATTAACGGTGAATGAATTTATTACAGTGACCTGTAACTGGGGATTCATTGGTTTTACATTCACATTTCAGGTCTGTTGCAGCAATACAAAGTGTAATCATATTAACCATGTAAAAACGGGGAAAAAACATGGAAAAGTGTGGGATGTAAATACAAAACTATCAGCAGGTGAGAAGTTTCACTTACACATCCCCTACATCAGATACACATATATTAATTTTTGTCAGGTCACAAGAGCCTAATTAAATTTTAGCTCATTTTTGTACGTATAGGTTTTTCCCCATTGTTCAAAGATTTCATAAGTGCCACTTGTTTTGCATGAACTTGAAAGAATTTATATATATATATATATATATAATGTTTAGTTCAGAATAAAAACTTGTTGAGAAGCCATTTTTAACTTATTGAAGCCAGAGGCTCATTTGAGCTTTCTGATCTAAGTTTTTCCATTTATCTGTCTGTCTGTTAACTTTACAAAATTATACCCCTGCTCCAAAGGAGAGGGGGGTAAACTGTTTTACCCTTGTGTTTTTAGCACACTCTTTGTTATCCCCTCGCGCAGCTAGTTGCGGAGAGGATATAGCATCACTACTGTGCATATATGTGTGTGTTTGTGTGTGTGTTAGTGTGTCCGTTACAGCTTGTTGGCAAGATTTAAGGAGAACCTTTGTACTATCAAATCTCAGCTTCCACATACTTATGTGGGATTGTGAAAGGACAAATCCTATTCATTTTCAAGTTAATCAGTGAAATATTTCTTTAAATATTGCGTACCTTCAAGCCCTGAAATTTTATGTACGACTTGACAATACTCACTTCCTGTTAATCAAACTGGTAAATTCGGATCGCTTCGATAGACTCGCTTCAGTAAGTTCTACTATGTATTTGCATATTTATATTGTCATATTATTGTGCGTATCTTGAGACAATCTGTCTGAATTAAAAGTGTCATCTCTGACACTGAGTAATTGAAATAATTTGATGAACGTTGCAGTTTCATTATTAAATTTCCACATGTGTCTGTTTACAATATAGAATTTATCCTTATTTCTTCTGAAAGCTATAAAGACATTTCGCAAGTTTCATTGACCTCTCAACACTGACATATTGTTATTTTTCATTACGAAAAAATATTGCTTCCACAGGTATTCTCAGATTTTATGCATATTGCATAGGTAAATTACTGAAACTTAGAGCATACGTGATATGTTTCTGCTAGGAATAAGGGAAACTGCCCAATTACGTATGCATGTTATGCCCCCACCTCTCCCCACCAATATGATATGCACTTTTAATTTTTGTTAAAAATGGATCCCCCATCCCCCCCCCCCCCCCCCCCCCAAGATAATATCAACTTTGACTTTTGTTAAAAAATTAATTAGTGTTGCAATACATTTTATGTACTTTACCTTATTGTAAACTTTATATAGTAATAGTGGGTGCCCTTGATAACTAGGTGATTGTATCTTTCTTAACGTCCCTCTTGAGAATTCTTCTCTCGTATGGAGACATTACCATTACTGGTGAAGTTCCTCTGTGAGGGGATGCTCCGCTTAGCGGTGCTCTTGTTTTCGCATGCCATATGGTAAGATTCATTTTTATACGAATCAGATGTCTACTTCCTGTTTATCCATGCGTCTGTCCATACCAAATTTCTGTCGCAACTGAACTTGTGTATATACAGTAAAACTCAGTTATAGCAAAGTCCAAGGGACCTGTGAAATTACTTCGCTATATCCGTAATTCGTTATATCTGTATTACGAATTTGTTAAAGTATATATATTGAATTTGCAATTCATTATAAAAATTCATTATAAAAGATGTAATTTTTATTATTTTTAATCTCTACGGGACACAAAATCAGTTTGCTATATCTGTAAATTCGTTATATCAGAGTTTGTTATAGCTGTAATATTTTCTTAGGATTTATTAGGAATTTTGCTGGGGATTCCAAAAAACTTCACTATATCCGTAAATTCTCTATATCTGTGTTTCTACATGAGAACATATATTTACATCAGAGCAGGGGTATTACTAGTGAGCATTGGCTCACAGACTTCTTGTTTAGATTTGTTCTCTGAACCACTGGACTTAACAGATTTTACATAATGCAATAGTACATGGAAAAAATCTTTAAAAATTAAAAATCATCTTCTCTGTAGAAGAGCAAAGCCATATAACCGTATTAATCATATTGATATTGAATCATCCCAATGTTATGTAGATCAATTTAAGTTTGGTAGCCATTACCCCTTGGGGGTTTGAGTACAGTATGGATCTTTTTTTTTTTATTTCCTGGGAATACAGAGAAAAATGAGACTCGGGTGAGTGTTGTGGTTCAAGAGCCTCTTGTTTTAATTAGATTGATATTTTTTTTTTCATTTTTGAATTTGTATTTACAGCAATGGTACATGTTGGCATTGGTGTAACTCAAGTTAACAGTCTCCTTTCTGAGCTGAATATACCACCTGTTAGTCATGCCATGCTAGACAATAGACAGAAAGAGATCGGCAGAGCTGTCCAAGATATTGCTGCAGAGTCTATGTCTAATGCTTTGCAGAAGGAACTGGGAATGATGAATGGGTGTGTATACAATATAAATTCAGTTTAAAATCTCACTTTTTAGCTCAACTGAGCCAAAGGCTCAATTGAGCTTTTCTGATCAAAGGGTGTCCAGCAACCATGTGTAGTGGTCATCTGTTAACTTCTCACATTTTCGACTTCTCCACACAAACCAATTTCGACCGTACTTGCCACAAAGCATCTTTGGGTAAAGGGATTCAAGTTTGTGCAAATGAAAGGTCAGGATTCAAGTTTGTTCAAATGAAGAGTCATGTTTTCTTTAAAAGGGAGATAATTAATAATTAGAGAAAATTTAATGTTATGTTTTAAAAGTCTTCTTTAAGAACCACTTGGCCAGGAAAGAGGAAATTTATGTGAAAGCTAGCTTCATTACATAGTGTAAAAATCATGACCCCCCAGGACTAGGGTTTTTACAAAAGGTGATCAAATTTTATTCAAGAATATATAGGAAAAATGGTTTTTTTTTTAAATTAGGTTGAGACTACAATAGCGGATTAGAGTTTTATAAAGGAGTACATAAGATAGAGTTGCAAGATCACACTAAATCCTATAAATTACTAACACATATCTAAGATGTGAAGAGTAGATTTTTTAAAAAAAATTATTAGCACTGGGGTTAGAGTTGAGCCAAAATCAGAGCAGTCAAATTTTACATAATGCATGTGTAAAGGAAAAAAAACCCAGCAGGACCATGTTGATCATATTTATATTGAAGCATCCCAATGTTGTGTTGATTAAACTTTGAATAAATCATATAACTCCTTTAGTCTACATTTTGGTCCACAGCATGGAGTCAAAATATTTATAAAAAATTTTATTTTGGTTGTAACGCATTATTTGATTGGATAAAAAATTTTAGTTTTTATGGTATAACCTGTGTTGCCTACGTCACAATGACTTAATGTACGTCAAAAATGTATCAATCCGCTTGGTGTTACTTTTAAAATATGTGCAATTCGAAGGCATTTCTGAAGGAGAAATTGTCTTATTGATTTAAAAAATTAAATTATAAGGAGTGAATTTAATAGCTACATATACTGGTATAACTTGGGTTGGAACAGTTTATGACTTTTTATATACTGCTTCGCAGTTACTAGATATACTTATAAATGTTAGTTTTAGTCATCTACTGCATAATTAGTGCTGATAAATATGCAGATTGTTATGCATATTAGGGAGGTGTTCTAAAGGAGACAGGTTCACAGGCTAATAACTGATGTCTGTTATTTAACTACCTTTCAGAGAGATGAATGAAAAGGGACTAGTTGTTGCTGTAGATGCTGGATGGCAAAAACGGGGAAGTGGAAAGACATATGATAGTTTGTCAGGTAAAAATAGACAAATTTTAGGAAAATGAAACAAATATTAATGCATAGAGTGATTTATTTTGGCCTGCGTCCCCCATGAATTATGCATTAATTTTGCTCAGGACATGATTCCAATAAATATGTATGCAAACAGATGCAGTAAAGAATGGGTGGAATTAACGCCCTTTGGATCTTTTTGCAATTCCTCTACCAAGCTGTAAATGAAGTGAATCCAAAATATATTGCAAGCAATAGAAAGAGTTACGTATACATGGTTATATTAGGTAGAACATTTGTACAAAAGCAAGGCCTTTTGCCATGAATCAAAATTGAAGCAACGATACATTAGTGTCGTCTTCCGGAATTTGGCATGTACCCGAAGTGGTTTTTAGGTCACGTAATCAAATTTATAGGAGGTGGGGCTATCGATCGGCATCATTGTTGACATCTCTCTCTCCCTCTCTAGAAATTCGAATATGTGTATGGCATATTGCAGCGATGTCAATATGACCCTGATTATCTATTGATTATCTATTGATATTCAAGAAATCTTCAGGCACCATGCCTTCGATATTTATTTAGTTTACCTCAAAAAGAGTGTTTTAAATCCACACCTGTACCATGAATACACGGTTAAGATATTGGGGATTTATATGATAGAAAGAAAGAAACATTTTATGAAAAAGATACATGTATCCCAAAGTTCAACTGTACATTGAAATTTTAAAATATTCTTCCAAAGAACAGCCATTAGTAGTCATGTATAGATACAAGCATGCTCAGGTAAAGCATATTCAATTTTGTTTGAACTATGGCCCCAAGGGGGTAAGATGGAGCCACAAAAAGGGATATAATTTTTACATGGGAATTTATAGGAAAAAACTCATTAAGGAAGAGCCTTAATGAGTCAAATCAATATGCAAGCACTCTCATTAGCAATATTAGGTGAATTTTATTCAGAGGAATAAAGAAAGGAAAAACTTTTGTATAGATTATCTTCTAAAGTGTGATAACCCATTGGCATTGTTTTGAAATTGGGTGTTAAATTTTTCTTTTACTTCAAAATATGTACTTTTTTAGGTCATTGTTCCATGGTTGGCCCTCTCTCTGGCAAAGTATTGTCATATTCTGTGAGGTCAAAGAATTGCAGAGTATGCAGTGTAGCTGAAACAACCAACAAGAATCCAGCAGCCCATGAGTGCTCAAAGAACTGGGAGGGAAGTTCAAAGGCCATGGAGGCAGATATGGTTATTGAGATGGTAGAAGATTTACAGAAAAGTAAAGGAATAACCATTGACGGAATCATAGGAGATGAGGATACCACCACAATAGCAAGATTAAAAACTAATGTCAATGCTAATATCAAGAAGTTGTCTGATAAAAATCATCTGAAGAAACTGTTTACAAACTCTTTGTTTACCTTGAAGAAAGAACATTCATCTCTAACTTTGTCTGTTATAAAGTATATTCAAAAGTGCTTCAGTTACTCCATAGCACAGGGAAAAGGAAATGCTCTTCAAATCCAAGAAGACCTCTCATCAATACCATACCACATCTTTGGAGATCACGAACACTGCTCCGCACGGTGGTGCAAGTTCATCGACAACCCTAACCTGCGCTACAAGTCTCTTCCACATGGAAAACCGCTCAAAGATAGGTTCCTTCAGGATGATCTCAAAGAAGTTTTCAGTTCATATGCGAGTCATTCTGATCGTCTTTCATGTTTAGGAAGCACGCAATCAAATGAGAGTTTTAACAGAATGGTGTCTGCAAAAGCCCCAAAGACCCATCATTACAGCTCCTCTTCAAGCCTCAGATATAGAGTTGCTGCGTGTGTAGCTCAGAAAAATGAAGGTCACAGATATCTGATAAAGGTATGTTAATTTTTAGCTCAAGTGAGCTTTTCTGATCACCCGTTGACCGTCATCCGTCTCTCCGTCCATCTGTAAACTTTTCACGTTTTCAACTTCTTCTCAAGAACCACTGGGCCAATTTTAACCAAACTTGGTACAAAGCATCCTTGGGTGAAGAAGAGCTTAAATTGTTAAAATGAAGGGCCAAGTTCTCTTCAAAGGGGAGATAATCAAGAAAATACAAAAATTGGGTGGGGTCATTAAAAAATCTTCTTCTCAAGAACCACTGGGCCAGAAAAGCTGAAACTTATGTGGAAGCATCCTGGGGTAGTGTAAATTCTAAATTGTTCAAATCATGACCCCCAGGGTAGGGCAGGTCCACAATAGGGAATCCAAGTTTTACATTGAAATATATAGTAAAAATCTTTAAAAATCTTCTTCTCAAGAACCACTATGCCAGAAAGGCTGAAACTTATTTGGAAGCATTCTGGGGTAGTGTTGTTTCTAGATTGTTCAAATCATGACCCCCGGGGGTAGAGCTGGGCCACAATAGGGAATCCAAGTTTTACATTGAAATATATAGTAAAAATCTTTAAATATCTTCTTCTCAAGAACCACTGGGCCAGAAAGGCTGAAACTTATTTGGGAGCATTCTGGGGTAGTTTAGATTCTAAATTGTTGAAATCATGACACCTGGGGGGTAGGGCTGGGCCAGAATAGGGAATCCAAGATTTACATTGAAATATATAGTAAAAATCTTTAAAAATCTTCTCAAGAACCACTGGGCCAGAAAAGCTGAAACTTATGTGGAAGCATTCTGGGGTAGTGTAGATTCTAAATTGTTCAAATCATGACCCCTTGGGGTAGGGTGGGGCCACAATAAGTACTACAAAGGGGGGGGGGAATCAAGTGAAAAACAGCAAGGCCAATGGTAAAAAAAGGAGCGAGTTTAGTCCCAAGTTAGAGCTTGGGGCGGGGCCAAAGTAGCCGTAGTAAAGGTGACCATCAAGGCCCATGATCCATTTGTTTTATAATGTATGTTGTTTGCATTACATATATTCCTAACAATATTTCTACTGTGTGTACTTTTGTTATGTGAGAATATTAATCTCTTAGATTTTAAAATTCTGCAAATTTTAATCAAAAGCAGATTAATGAATGTATTGCTTATTTAGTTGTACATAATGGATTCTTATATCCTTATTAAAGGTGAACAAGAAATTAGGCCTCTCTCCTGGCTACTATACTCGAAGACAGTGCATTCTGAGGGATCTCCAAAGAAAACGACAGAAGGCCATTTCAATGACACAGAAATTTAAAAGGAGAAGGAGAGAATTGAAAGCCAAGAGGTACTAGTATACTTTTATTGTCATTTGTCAGAGTGCAACAAAACTCTTGTCTAACTGAAAAGTGAAAACCAACCAAGGACAAGTGGATGTCCCTGCTGATAAGTATATATTTAAAGTGAGAATTGAAAAAAACTCTTGAATCTTACTAAGATCTATTGTTTTCTGAATCACCAAAGATTTATGCTTGTTATAAATAGTGAGTCTCTTCTGGTTGCAAATTGTCATAAAAAGTTTGATATAAGTATAAAATTAATGAAGAGGACATTTTCTGGAATGAATCAACCAGTGGTTTGATAAATATTTTTTTCCAATTCATTTGGAGGTATATTTTTCACTATATTGTTATATATTTATTTTATATTGGAAAAGTGAGTCATATGGGACAAGCAAAATCTTCATTGAGATGAATGGTTATGCTTCATATTTATTTGCTTTGCCAAGTGATCACTGAAATTTCTTTCACCCTGTAATGTACAAAATTGTGGTTTAGAATAGCTTGAAACGTTCTATCAGAACTGTGCAACCAGTCTTTACTAAGTAAATTTTTTTTATTGGCTGTACATCAGGTGAGTGTTTATTTTGCTAGGCCTCTTGTAAGACCTCAATTTGGAATTATTTGTTTTACAATATACAACTTCTTTACAGAATTCAAAGTCTTTCTACAAAAGAGACAAGGGAAGGCGTCAGTTATTTGACAGGATGTGATCTCCACCATGCCTCGGACATTGATGAAATTCCAGCTCCAAAAACAATTCCAAAGTATGATCATCTTCCTTCAAGTCAGTTGTTAAATGCTGAAGAGATCTATTTCGACTTGGAAACTACTGGACTCGGTAAGAACCTAAATGAGTTTTGAATGTCTAGTCAATGCTGATGGTTATGGCACTCTTCCAGTATTTCTTCTATATGCATGTCGAAGGAATAAACCCAGCATTTTATAAACAGCAAGAAAATTTCTAATCTGTTTGTCACAAAAACCACCAAGAAGTGTTTATCACAAGATATGGGAATCACGATCAAGTAAACAATTCTATAAAAGAAGGATCTATCATGTTTTGCGGTTGGAAATGATTGAATATGATATTCTATCTCCGAGCCTTAGCAGCAAAACTCCATGACAACACTTTCAGTCATAAACAATTGTGATATCACACCCATGTAATCTCAAAATTTATTTCCTGATTGATATCCACCAGATGTATGGGAAGCATATGCAAAAGGAATGTATGAAAACATGATTAATTTCGAAGATTTGAGACACTCATATGACCTTTTGTAATTGGTCCCTGTCCACTGTCTGCCATGTGTAAACTAATAAACATTTTTAACTTCCTGAAAACTATATGGCTCCCCCCCCCCCCCCCCCCCCCCCCCCCCCCCCCGATGTTTGGTATAAAGCATCTTCAGAGTAAAGAGGAATTTAAATGTTATGACTCTTGCACCTCAGAGGCCTGTGGGTGGGACAAAAACCAATGAAACTAAATGCACATAATTTATACAGAGGTAATATATGTTTTTCAAAAATTATATATTTTCTGTTGCTAATATTGAATAAAAGCAAATGCATATTTTGAAATGGCATAAAAGAAGTTTTTAAACCTCTATGATTCTGGTATTGGTAGTTGAGCATGTTTTATATCGTTCTTTCAAAACTTTACTTTTCCTAATCTGACAACACTGAATTAAAAGAAAATGCATACTCTGAAAGAGTTCAAGCATTTTCGACAGGAGTTAAGGCTTGGGGAAGAGGGGCACTAGTATTTCATTGTTTCAAAATTTTTGAAATAGTGCATATATCAATGGATTTGTTTGGATATTTTATGTTTTGAATTTCAAAAACTTGAATATACTTGTTTTTATTTTCAGCAAGGGATTCTCATATTGTGCAGTTATCTGCAGTTAGAAATGATGAGGTATTCAACAAGTACATCATTCCAAAAAAACCAATGACATCAAAAGCTACAGAAATAACTGGAATACAAGTAGTCAACAATAAAATGTACCACAATCATGAGGAAGTTGAGACAGTCAGCATTAAAGATGCTCTGATCCAGTTTATGGACTTCATGAAGATGTCGGGTCCAGATGTTGTTCTAGTTGGGCATAACTCTAAAGTGTTTGACCTTCCTGTGCTCTTCAACATTTTGAGTAAACTAAACATTTTGGAGACATTTTCATCTGCAGTCACTGGCTTCATTGATACAATTCCTCTTTTCAAAATGTCACATCCAAACCTTTCGTCATACTCGCAGTTACACCTCTTTGCAGAAATTCTACAAGACAAATACAGTGCGCATGACTCATTACAGGATGTCATAGCCTTGAAGAGATTGGTCGATCATACAGGACCCTCCCATGAAGTCAAAGTTGCTGCATCCTTCACCTTGAACTCTGCCGTTGCCGTTTTTCATCACAAGAACACAACAAAGCATCTAATGAGTACACTAAGGCCTTTATTGGACCAAAAGGTAATTTCGAATGGAATGGGAAATAAGATTGCCGGCAGTGGACTCTCCTTATCCCACTTACAACTTGCATATCAGAGAAATGGTAGGGAGGGAGTGCAGGATGTGCTGTCAGAGATAGCTGATAATAGTGTGCGTGTGACAAAATCTAAAAAAATCATTGATTCTGTTGCAGATTATTTCAGATCTGAGCAGTAATGCAGTTATTTGTTTGTGAATGTATGATGTTCTTTGTTTGTTATTGTTTGTTTGTTTGTTTTATGTCCCTTTGAGAATTTTTCACTCAAATTGGAACCCCACGAGTTGTTGATGTCAGGATGCAAATATAGACCTGTACTCTGCTCTTGAGACTATTTGAACTACCGGTAGTGAGCGTTTTTTTACGTCCCTTTGAAAATTTTTCACTCATGTTTGGACCAACCAGTTGTCGACCGATGGCTGCAAATATAGACCTGTATTCTGCACTTGAGGCCATTGAGCAATGAGGGATCTTTCTGTGGCAGCACCTACTGCAACATTAAACCTTAGTTTATACTGTCTCATCCAAAGGACTGGTCCTCACTTCCAAAAAAGTATACAGTCATAATAAGTTATTAAGAATAGATAAAGTAAAGAAGTAGGTGAGCCAATGCTCACTAGTAATACCCCCGCTCTGAGCACTGATGTGAATATACCCTCTGATGTGAATATACACAAGTTCAGCTATGGACAGACACAGGAATAAACAGGAAGTTGACACTGGATTCGTACAAAAATGAATCCCACCAAATGGCATGCCTAAACAAAGAGTGTGCTAAGACTTCAAACATCTCCAATGAGTAGTTGCTGAGAAAACTGTGACGAAAATTTGTTATGCATGGTATTGACAGACGCACAGATAAACAGGAAGTTGAAATTGGATTCGTACAAAATAAATCTTACTATATGGCATGCCTAAGCAAAGTGAGTGTTAAAACTTCAAGTATCTGCTATAAGTGGTTGCTGAGAAAACTGCGACAAAAATTTGTTATGGACAGACAGACACACAAGGATAAAACAGTATATACTCCCTCTCCTTCGGAGCGGGGGTATAATTATGCAATGTACTGTTGTATATGAAACATGTTTCAATGTCTAGTGTTATTGGTAGTTTGTAGTTGAACAAAACATTTTCTTTCCATTCAAAATAAATCCAATTTAGAAACTGAATTGACAATGATTTATTGACCATACATGAGAATTTAAATTCTGTTCATTGATATTTATTGAAGAAAGCTATGTGCATAAATTGAAATATGCACAAATGAATATGAAAGGACATACTGCAAATGTATATTGTGCATGCACTATACTTGGTGGTGATTAATTTTTCAACAAGTCAAGCTATGTTTGATTTTGGCACATTTCTGATTGTGTACCAATAAATATACACGTCATAAAGTTTGTGATGTTCTTGATATAGCGGAAGCAGCTTTCTGTCAAAGACGATAAAAAACCTTTATGTTTACAGTAAACAGCAGTGCCATTAAATTTTTGTATGTTACATGTACCGGTAACAATTTGAAATACCGATAACTATCACAATGTCTGTAAACTTTTCACATTTTTGATTTCTTCTCAAGAACCACTGGACCAATTTCAACCAAACTTGCCACAAAGCATCCTTGGGGTAAGGGGATTTAAGTTTGTTCACAGGAGTGCCACGCCCTCTTTCAAGGGAAGATAATTAAGAATTTGGTAGCATCTTTAAAAAAATTTCTCAAGAACCACTGGGCAAGAGAAGATGAAACTTGTGTGAAAGCATCATTACATACTCATTACTGTAGATTTAAGTTTTGTTAATCTGGGAAGTTTATATACTGTGAGACCAGCTTTGTAATATGAAAGATTAAAACCCAAAGAAGTAGAGTTTTCAGAATTTTTCCAAGAATGAAATTTAATAATCTGTATCCGGTCTTCTTGCAAATAAATATTCTGTCTTGAGAGGGCACGAAAATAATCTGACTCGATACCCCCCCTCCCCCCCTCTTTCCCCCTCAATATCAAATATAGTCGTTCACTAATATATTTTAATGTCCTTTTTTTAAGAGAAAGAATGAGTTTTAATACAATCATACATTCATGCAAATAGAAAATTCATCAAAAATAAATAATGTAGGAAGCAAATATAATCAATCCGAATTTCCTCTGTTCAAAATTTGAGGAAAATTCGGTCAGAGGAAATTCAAATGAAAATATCTTTTAAAGTAACTCATGTAGATATACAATATTTCACATTGTTTGAAAGCACTACAACTAAGAAATAATTAACTAGAAAAAAATTAACTTTTTAATTATTTCTAATTCATTTTCCAAGCTTATTTTACAAGCCCCCAAAAGGAAAAATAAGCGAATTTTTGCACAGGGGTGTGTGCATTTTTTTAAAGAATTAATTTTATCTTCGGTTGATTACCATCATTATTTCATCAATATTTATTTTCCTTATGACTACTTTTAAAAGATAACAAAAAGTCAAAATGATTTGAAAATATTTTTTAGGTTAAAGGGAATATTAAATACGTTGGACGCATTTTTGGTCTTTTTCTTTACTAAAATGAGAGATTTACCTCCCTTTGGCATAAACGCCTATAGCTTGTAAACCAAATCATATACATATGCATTTTTTTGGCTTAAAATAATTAATTATGTTTATTCTTACAATTAAAAAAGAAAAATTAAATTTTTAATTATTTTTGTTGTCAGAAGCCAAACACCTTAAACGGAATAAGGGTTTCGGAGTTATATTTGACATGATTTCAAATTGAATTCCATGAAAGTGCTTTATTTTCTACATAATTCTATTGAAGCCGTAAAGTAAAGTTTAAATCAATTATGACGTCATAATGAATCTAGCACCAAGAAGAAAGTTTAAACTCATTTACTAGATCTTGACCTTAGGCAAAAACGTTGTTAGTAGTTCTAACAGTGAATTGTACAGAGAAATGTTTTAATGATGAAAATATCTGAAAAACGAAAATATGCTTAGGCTTAACGAAAGGTCCCGGGGTCCCAACATTCTCCTATAGTTCATACCTTTGGTTACCATGATTCAGACAAAACCGTGGTTGAGGCGTCACTGTAGCTCAGACGTCACATTGGCAAAGACGTCATCATGGTTCGAGTGTTACCTTGACCAGACAATGCATGGTTCAAACGTCATCGTGCTTCAGACATCACCGTGAATCAGACTTCACAGTGCATCAGAATCACCTTGAGATTCAAATGTCACCATGGTTCAGAAGTCACAGTGGTTCAGATGTCACCGTGAGATTCAGAAGTCTCCGTGGTTCAGGTGTCACCGTGGTTTAGATGTCACCGTGATTCAGATGTCACAGTGGGATTCAGAAGTCACCGTGGTTTAGACGTCACCGTGGTTCAGATGTCACCGTGGTTCAGAAGTCACCGTGGTTCAGATGTCACCGTGGTTCAGATGTCACCGTGAGATTCAGAAGTCTCCATGGTTCAGAAGTCTCCGTGGTTCAGACGTCACTGTGGTTCAGATGTCAACGTGGTTTAGACGTCACCGTGACGCACGCGTCACTTTGTTGCAGACCTCATCGTGGAACACGGACATTTACACACCACAGAAGACGTCTAGAGAATAGTTTTCTATTTTTACCTTTACTTTCTAAAAAACAACCGAGGGGAATAAGATTTAAGAATACCTGAATCTGCACTAAATGGCACAATATATAATGTTAAGATTCATATACCCTCTTATCTGAGGGTTTTTGAACCTTTTAATTTATCTAGAGTTAGACCTTTTCTTGAAAATAAAAAAAAAATATTTTAAATTCTAGACCATCTTTTTAAAAAAAATGTGTATGTTTGCCCTCTCTCGACAGACTGACTAAAAACGGCCCGACTCAAAACTTTTTTTTAACCTCCAGGAAACAAATTATTAATTTTTTTTTCACTAATTCCGAAGTTTTCTCATTCCATTAATAAGTATTTTAACTGCATATTTGCAGGTGTTTTTGAATAAGAATAAAAATGTCCCCTTACCTACCTACCCAATTTTTTTTTATCCTTAGTCGGGATAGGGCATGCAAACATTTTTTTTTAAAGATGGCACTATAAATCTTTTTATTATGAAACTTTGAATGAAAAAAAAAAACAACGCAAATTAAAATCTATGCGGTTAAACTTATTAATTTAACTTATATAAACATGACTTTAGTTGTTATTTTCGAGCATTTTGACAAACGTTTGTTTGTATCATATGTCCTATCACTGGTGATTTGTAGAAGTCTAAAATGTAAAAATTAGCAGACAGACGAACGACTTAAAAGCGTCCACTGGAAAAACTCGCTTGAGCATTGTTAAGCGTATAGTTTTTAGAAAAAAAAATCTTATAAATGTAGAACTTCTCAAAAACACATACTGGCCAGAAAAACATCGTAGAGGACATTCCATAAGACATTTACTATAGTTTTGATATTTTTAAATAGATTCTAATTGACATCTCTTTTAAATTAATATTTCTTTTGAATATCCATCTCGTAATCCAGGAGAGACAACTCTTACTGATATTTCGGAACCTCGGTGTGCAGTTTTCTTTTACAATTTTTAAATTTTTCTTCTTGATATTCCATTTAAAGAGATGTTTTTTCAAGGTTCAGTCTTTATCTATGATAATCTAACCTAAAGCATATCAACCTTTTATAATTGATAAAAAAAAAACACAAACAAACCACAGTTTCAACTTTGGAATTGCCTGACAAGACCTATGATAACGTTTGTATTGTCCTATAAACTATTTATTGTTGCCACTTGATGTGCGCAAATTACTGTTCACACTTACCAAGATCACGTGATGCAAGCTGAGGTTTCGAACACGTCCAAAGCTATCAATACAATATTCTAAATTTGTGTTTCCCGTGTAACCTGTAATTTATACAGGTTTACAAATATTGCCCAAGTAAGGTCAACTTGGGCTTTCGGGATCATAGAAACTTATCACTTTCCATTCTATTATTATATTCCTAACATGGGAAAGTCTTACAGTGGATGTAGAAAGTTTTCAACACTTAAGTAAATTGCTTAGAAGTAAGAATCATATTTTGGGAGAATTCACTGATTTTATTATATAAAAACAAAACTTCACAACTCCTTTTGTAACATCAATGCTTACAATTAAAAAAACATTTTCTGCAATAAGAACGGGAGGCTACTTGTTCATTAGGCCAAATAAAAAAATATGTGTGGTTCCGGTTACCCGACGGTCCCTATTTTATACCCCCGACCCTAAACTTTTTTTTGGCAATTTTCATATTTTTTCCGGAATTTTCCCCAATTTCCATCAATGGCTCCGGTTTAAGTTTTAGCTTCAGCAATGACGGCCTCCTTGCACAACATAGTGCAAGTGCTTAACAGTGTTAAATCCAAAGAAATCTAGCATGTAGGTATCTTCTACCAATATTGACTAGTATATTATCACACCACATCTAAATGTCATTTGCGAAGCAGTGATAGGTATTATTTAGGAAAAGTAAGAAAATCATTTTGTTTAAAAAAAAAAAAAAAAAAAAAAAAAATCAAAATCAAAAAAAAACAAACAAAAAAAAAACACCCTACCTACCTACCCTAATTTTTTTTGGAGGTGTAACCGGAACCACACATATTTTTTTTTGTTTGGCCTTATCTGTGTCAATCTATATTTATTGAAAAGATAATGTGTAAACTTAAGGGAGATAATTTTAATAAAAACATATGTTCTTTTGCCATTTGAAAAAAAAGCGTACATTCGTATTTATTTTTCTTAAAGTAGTCTCCTTTTGTGTGACGTTTAAAAAAAATATAACAACGAAGGTATTTTAAATGAATTATAATTCTAAAACATTCTAATTCTAAAATATCCTCCAACATTTAATGAAACAAACGCCTGTCGATGCGTAACTGGCATTTTTTTAAAGACCAAAGCTGATTCAAACAAAATACAGTACACGATTGTACAAAATATACAAATATCCTCTGTTAGATTCAATATCTTATCCGTGATCAGCACACATCTTGTATCCATGTCGAATATAGCAGCTACGTAGAATCGTTTCTGAAAAGGGGGGTGGAGAATAATTAAACAAATTACCTGAAAATATCTTTGACAAAACAAGTAAAACTGTCCAAACTCGAAAATTCTTTTAGGAAGATGGAAGGGGCTCCAATTTTTTTTGAATACATAAACATGAGAGATTTTGAGTAGCAAAGCAAGGGGAGGGGAGGGGGTGAATTGGGCTTGAACAAGTGGTTTTTCAAAGAAAATTTTTCATTCATATTAAAAGGTAAACATTATGTTTGGAAAAGGTGCATGTATAGGCAACGATTGATAAATCTACCATGTGTACACCGCGAATATCGATACAGGAGACAAACTCTGGAGTCATGGCATTTTATTTTGTTTTGCTACTGAGAGTCTAAGTTGACTTATTCCATAGGATAGTAGTTACAAAGGGTAGGGTACTGATCACGGGAAGGCCTTGATCACTGAGAATTAATATTCACGTCCGCTTTGCCTGATTAAGTCTTCTATTACCCTACCAGCACTTTTACTGTTTGTTCATCAACTAGCTTATTGCGGTATAATTTTATTGTACAAACATCAATACTCGATAGAACTAAAGAATAACAGGGTGGTGATCAATTTCCCATGCCGAGTTGTCGCTCTTTACTCTCTCAGACACTTCTGCAATGGATTCGCGTCAAGAGTTTTGACATAAAGTAAAATAATCCTGAAATTCCAAGGATTATTTCAAATTCAACTATAATAGTTTTAGATTCAATTAGAATATATATATATATATATATATATATATATATATATATATATATATATATATATATATATATATATATATATATATATATATATATATATAGTCTACAAACACAAAATACTGACCTTAGTACTGCAGTCTACAAACACAAAATACTGACCTTAGTACTACAGTCTACAAACACAAAATACTGGCCTTAGTACTACAGTCTACAAACACAAAATACTGGCCTTAGTACTACAGTCTACAAACACAAAATACTGGCCTTAGTACTACAGTCTACAAACACAAAATACTGGCCTTAGTACTACAGGCTACAAACACAAAATACTGGCCTTAGTACTACAGTCTACAAACACAAAATACTGGCCTTAGTACTACAGTCTACAAACACAAAATACTGGCCTTAGTACTACAGTCTACAAACACAAAATACTGGCCTTAGTACTACAGTCTACAAACACAAAATACTGGCCTTAGTACTACAGTCTACAAACACAAAATACAGATCTTAGTACTACAGTCTACAAACACAAAATACTGACCTTAGTACTACAGTCTACAAACACAAAATACTGACCTTAGTACTACAGTCTACAAACACAAAATACTGACCTTAGTACTACAGTCTACAAACACAAAATACTGACCTTAGTACTACAGTCTACAAACACAAAATACTGGTCTTATAAATACAGGCTCCAAACACAAAATACTTGCCTTAGTACTACAGTCTACAAACACAAAATACTGACCTTAGTACTACAGTCTCCAAACACAAAATACTGACCTTAGTACTACAGTCTCCAAACACAAAATACTGGCCTTAGTACTACAGTCTCCAAACACAAAATACTGGTCTTATAAATACAGTCTCCAAACACAAAATACTTGCCTTAGTACTACAGTCTACAAACACAAAATACTGACCTTAGTACTACAGTCTACAAACACAAAATACTGGCCTTAGTATTACAGTCTACAAACACAAAATACTGGCCTTAGTACTACAGTCTACAAACACAAAATACTGACCTTAGTACTACAGTCTCCAAACACAAAATACTGACCTTAGTACTACAGTCTACAAACACAAAATACTGGCCTTAGTACTACAGTCTACAAACACAAAATACTGGCCTTAGTACTACAGTCTACAAACACAAAATACTGGTCTTATTACTACAGTCTCCAATCACAACACAGTGTCCTTGGTACTACAGTCTCCAAACACAAAATACTTGCCTTAGATACCCAGTTTGACGGGATACAATGTGTTACAAGATGTATAACTGCATTATACAGCTATAGTTTAGCTCATTTTTCAACTCTGTTAACATCTCTGACCAAAATGTAAGTAGGATTTTCTCTGCACATTATATGTATATGCATAAGTACCCACCAATGATTCACTCATTAACTTATCACAAGAATAAAATTGAACATTCCTCGGCTTAATTCCACACGAAGAGGACTATAGTGCCTGCCTTATCTTCTCTGATCTGACCATTACTGACATTCCTCCAGACCTGATACAAATGGAGACTACACTCGTTGTTTTGTTTTGTTTTATACCTTCTCTATATGGTAGGTCAGTGTTTTTTCTTCACAAGTAAATTAAAATAAAATCCTTCCATTTTTGATATAATGCTTGTAATACCGAATTTCCCATAGGAACCAGTAGTGATATGCATGTCAAATGTCGTACGCTTTCATTAAGAATGATAAATGAACAAAACAGAACCGTGTCACTGGCTTATCTGATGATGAATGTCCATAATGATAACAAATCGATACCATATTTACAAATATCGTTTAAACAATGCACGTCCGAATTTAACATGCACACAATAATAACACAAATGCAGATACGTTTTGCAGGAGGTCCCCTAAACAAGCGGTTTCTAGGTCTGTTTGGTATTTCAATACCTAACCCAGCTGACCTTTCCGGTCTCTATAACATTAAAGTACCAGGGGATGCAACGGGGTATTTAGACATCTCCCACCAACAGCAGAGCGCAGCCGCAACAGGAACCGGATATGTGCAACATCAGAATCACAATGGTCCTGGATGTAGGTTTTATGAGTTCTCGTTTCTTTTAAGCAGAAAACAGAATTAGTATACTTTACAAAGACCCATTATTGTGTTCGCCATTTTTTGTTAATAATTATATCTTTAAATCTTACATATCTAACTAGGAAACGCGAATTTTCTCAAATCATACCCCCGGATAACATGACTGTTTTCAATCACTTTTCTCCGTAGCCTTCAATTTACAGACAGGGGGCTCCAATATGAATTCACTCCCTGGTAAATGTGACCAGTTCATAACGACACATTGCGACATAGACTGCAGGCAAATTGACTCTGTAACTGGTTGTGTGACGTGCAAGTCTGGGTGTCGTAAGAAATGTTTTTATATAATAGTCCAAGCAGTTTTTATCCAAACTATATTTTGGACATAAACCTCTAAAGATTACCTTAACACGGAACCAGACATTATTACCATTGATTTAATTCTTGCTTCTGCAACATTATCAAAAATTCAGCTCTAATACATGTATATGAATTTTAGATTTTAGCATCATTCCACCATTTCCTGCATTTATTTGCTTTGCTTTGAAACAGGAAGTAACACTCAAGCGACATCTGGTGGTGTATCATCTGTTACTTCAATCTCAACTACAGGTATAACATAATTGCGACATTAATATGTTTACTCGTAATGAATGTTTAATTCCAACAAAATAGAATCTGGATTTGAAATCTCTGTTGTTTAAAGTTTTTAAACTGTATGACTGGGGAATTGCAGTCTGAGGGTGGTTTTGGGATAATCAAACATGGCATCTTACATGTATATGTACATGCATACACAGTATATAAGTGTCTTCTTTTAATTTCTATTAAACTTAGAATCGAGTGTTATTCTTATGAAGGAATTTGTATAGCATCAAAAGAGATAAAAGTTTCACAGATTTATTAGTGACACATTAAAAGAAGGGGGAATAACTCAAGAAATATGCATTTTATCTCCTCTTCTGAATTCGTTTTTTAAAAAGCGTCGCCGATGTGTCCAGCGTTTCCGGGCACCTGTCCACGCGGAAGTGTGGCCGTGGTAAATGGATGTCCGATTTGTACCGGTAAGACGGCGTATTTGATACATATTATCTTTTGGTTGATTGGTCACGTATATTTGTGTTTATTTGTACATGACAGCAGTTATGCTTCTCAAACGAATATATTTTTGTTGAATGAAAACATTTATAAAGACATTTCCTTAGGGATGAGAGAGGTATAAGAGAATACCTAAATAATTCAAGTTCTACACACCTCATATCTCAAACCTTGTTTTCAGCACAACTTGCAACTCAACAGACTACGACTGCGCAAGCGCCGTCTACATGTGCTCCGGTGAGGTGTGTGACGCCATGTAACAAAGGCATTATGTTGGGTTCAGATGGATGTCCGGTGTGTGTCTGCTAATGACGTCATCATGGCGTCACATTCCATCTGCTGGTCCCTCCTTGTGTTTGCTATAGTAATGTCTTTTTTTTAATAAATATATAATTTACTGATTTTCATCAAAATCTTTGGTTCAATTCCTTGTGATACCATGAGAGGAGTCGCAATTGATAGTGAATATTGAAGTACATACACATAGTGTAAATTTCTACATTCTATTTTTTTCAATATCTAAAAAGTGGACTTTATAGATTTATCTCAGTATGTATGTTAAAAATAAGATATCTAGATTTACATCAATTACAAATTCTGCTTTATACATAATAACAAGTGATTGAATAAGTTTTAAGCGGATTCGTGAATTAAGTTTGACACTTTATAGGGGGATAAATTTTAATCTCACACAAAATATATACACGAAACAAAGTCACCAAGTAAAACAAGAAATTCAAATAATTCTTTTAATAATTTATGTTAAATTGATCCCCAGAGTTCCATATCTTGTTATACCAATTCTCCTCCTGGTCTGCAAAAAAATAAGTAACTTATTTATATTAAAGAAGTCTGGCGATTTACAAGAGTGGAGAGAAGGATATAATCTTAATCATATTGCTAAAAAACAAGGAAAACGTAACAAAGGATTTGTGGAATTCTAAAGTTTTAAACTTCATAGCAAAATTGTAAGAAATACGTACGTTTTGATACACATACCGGGCAGCCATCTTTGTCAATGCGCACGCGTCCTCGTTGACATCCGGCAGGAAAGGCTGGGCAAATGTCGCTGCCTGTTATTAGATCACGGTTTATTAGATATACAGTATGTGACATCAGCACATTCATCATAAAATGAAACAGTTGACAAATTGTCTTAATTTGGCTGCAGGGGTGGACCATTTAACATGGTACTTGATATGCACACCAAAAGCATATCACCACTTTGATTTGTAAATTGTGAAGATTTAGGCTGGGTATTGGAATCCGGGGGGAGGGGGGGGGGGCAATATGATACATACCACAGGAACAAATTGGACAACCTTGGTTATTGAATTCCACGCAGGACTGTGGGCAGTCACGTGAGATCTGGGGACACCCTTGATGTGTGTGGCTGCCACTAGGGATAGGGCTATTGCTATGGCTACCTGTGTGTATGTGGCTGGCTGTCATACCATTGGTGTAGCTGCTGCTATCATGACTGTTCATGTGACCTGCAGACGAGATTTGAATACATATGAAGATACTGTGTTTTTTTTTTTTGCATTAAGTGAATTCTAATAATGTCCTTGACATAATGTAAAACTCTCATTATTTCCTAATTCATAAATTAGTATAAAATAAAGCATTGTCTTGGTTTTCTCCATCGACCACGACTTCGGACGAAGATCTTAGCTGGCACGTGTTATTCCTAGAGAGTTTTGATTGGTGATCTTGTTGATATGTAATGTTGAGCAATGATTTCCCCCAAGACCAAACTTGACTTTAATTCTGTCCCATATCATGTGTACGAGGATTTTTACCTCATGCAATATGGGGATACGTGGACTTAAATCTCTTGTCCACAAAGTGTGCTCGATTATTTTACCTGATGTGATTTGTGCCTGCAGGGTCCTGACCCTTTCCATGGTCCACGACCTGGGAACGATGATTTTACCATTCACATACTGGATAGAGACCGTGTCCCCAAATACAATTTTCCTCTCTGTAGATCCAAATATACATGTAATATAATACAGCACGATTTAAGAAGAAGAAAAATCAATCAATCAATCAATGAGTTTTCTTTTCACTGGTCACAACTTCTGGTTACTCAATTGAGAAGATCCCATTCATATTTCACAATGAAAAATAATCTTTTTTATTTTATTTTGTTAATGATTTTTTTGTTACCTAGATTTTCCGAGTCTGAATTTTCTTTGTTTTTGTCGAAGGACCCACCCATTATACTCTGCGCTCCTCCGCTATTCATTGACATTCCTCCCATGGAGGGCGACAGATCAGCCTGACTGCGCATGGAAAGCATCGCCATATTGAAAGGCGTTTGGTTTGAACCTCCACCCATAGATCCTGACCCTGAAAATGGTGACATTCCGGTGCCTCCATTTGACAAACCGTTCGGTAATCCTTCGCCCCTATTAGATAGACCAGCAGGGAACATAGATTGTGACATCCCTTTATTGGCAAAAGGACCAGAATTTGTGGAGGACATTCCTAAGCTTTGATCACTACCGCCTTGGCCACTTCCGGGAATGTTTCCGGAAGTCAGAGGTCTAGGACCGTAAATAAGGGATTTGTCGGCCAGACCTGAAAGATAGAGAGATGTTAAATGGTAGTCGTGTTATATGCCCAACCATTTACTTTCGTTTTATGTGAAAAAATATCGTTCAATATTACAACATTGTTCAAATAAGCGATGTAGAATACCTCCAAATCCTAGTGACATTTGACTCATCATACCGCCCCCGCGGCGATTTCTTCTCTGCTCTTTCATATCCGAGACCGTTTGTATTTCCTCTGGTGGTTTAACGTTCCGGATGTTGTGCTTTTCAATCTCGACGAATTCGTTTTGTTTGATTTTCTTTCTCCGATTCCCCCCTTTTCCTATTTTCCCCCTCAGGTTCTGTGTTAAATGTAACTGTGTTGTAAAATCGCATCTTCTCGGGCCTTTTCAGCAAGCACAAAAACACCTCGAACATATTAAATGGATGTTAGAATTTCATACAAAAAAGATGAGACCAAGAATTCCCGCCAGGTTATAGAATAGTAAGTATAGAGTTCTACACGATTCTTTTCTAAATTTCAGGTAATCGTGCTGAGTGTCTTTACAAACAGACAAGTTTGTATTGCATTTTAATAATTAAAAAGGGGGGGGGGGTCATTGATGCTACCTAAGTAATTCATCCGAACACGAGGATGTTTTCCCGTTTGTTGGTAAGGCCAGAGAAGTTGCGATCTGTTGTTGCCTTAGAAAAACTTTTATTTATCACTTATTAATAACAAACCTTAATATGGGAAAGTACGAAATCATCTTGTTCAAGATTAATAACAAACCTTAATATGGGAAAGTACGAAATCATCTTGTTCAAGATTAATAACAAACCTTAATATGGGAAAGTACGAAATCATCTTGTTCAAGATTTTCTCCGAATATTTCTTTAGTCGTCAGAATATGTCCACCATAAATGTCTATTTCATGACTAGGATGATACACATGGTTGCTGCTTCTAAGACTAAGTGGTTTGTGTCCCGCAACTGTAATAGAAGTCCGTTTTCAATTAAGGAGGCTGGGGAGTCAACAAATTAACCATCAGATATAACTTAATTTTTTAGATATGATATCTTAAGCTGTCAACTATCATTTTGCAAACAAAAATTTCATACGTTTTAGTTTTAAAATTTGATCATTTTTGTATATCTTTATATGGAGCTCTTCTTCTAAAGGAGATCAATATAGTCTGAAAATGGCCACAACCACCCAGTCCTCTTAATACTGCAAGTGAAAATTACATCATAAACCCGTCATTTCAATAACTATTTCTATATTTAAAGAATTATAACTATATTAAACGAAATTAATTCATGCTTACATTTGCAAAATATTGTGGAAAAAACGACACCATGTATAAAGATCTACATGTTTAAAACAATAACCTACTTATGAGAGAGCAAGACTAGGTAAACTGCGATATTATAAAAAACAATAAATCCATACCTGCTGTGAACAGAATTTCCATTAAACAATAAATCATAAAAATTAACATGTTGCGTAATTTGTTCAATCGATCTCAAGAACTAATCTGTAGTCACGCATGCGTAAATTGGCTGACTGTCATGACGTATTTTTGAAAATATTTCCAAACAACACCTTCTATTACCATGATATGACAAAAAGAGAAATTGTAACAGGGGCGTGTCGATTCTAACACCTGCCATGATTGTTACAGTTATCTGCAGATTACAGTGCTTCTCTGTGAGTGTAACATTTTGTTGTCAGTAATGGACATTAATTTTTCGTTTTTTTTGTCGAAGGTCATTGAAATCTAGAACGGTAGACTTGGGGGCTTAATTAAATTTTTGTAGACTATTTGAAACTGTAATTATACCATTTGAGCAAAGGTAATCCAAAACACGGCGAATTTATTAGTGGTTGTTATGAATATTAAGTGACTACCACTCATGTGTGAATTTGCTCTCTTATACCTAATAAAGTACAAGATATGAAATGTAAGGATACTCAAAAAAATTAAGTCTTTTTAAAAAATTTTTTTATTCATATGCATATTTTTGACCTCTTGTTTGGCATAACAGCCGGGATGGCCCTGGGAACAGATGTCATTTTGACCAGCAGATTACAGCGTTGCAGTTTCAGTTGCATCGAACTTCGCCAGCTCAAGGGCATAAAGGTATTAATGAGATGTGTTTTATTTCCTGTAAAAGTAAACCAATAAGAACAGTTGTCTTCTACTGGTATCGTTACTAAAATCACAAATTAACAACGAAATCTGAGCCAAAATGACATATTGTTATCCAGCAATACACACCTGCAGTGGAAGTTTCTATAAGCTTTGTATCCATATACTCTTTTGTCTTGAGATCCGCGCCCGACTGTATGACTTATCTACAAATCCTCCACAAGAATATTAAAACGAATTGAGTATCCGTCATATATTATCATGTCATAGGGTCGAACATTGTGAATTTTTGTTGATAAATCTAATGGCGCTCAAAAACAAGCGACATTAGGACCGAATTAATCACATGACTTCGTGTGAATAGCGTTTGCTCGTGATGGGATATATTATTTTACCTGTTCTTTGGTTATTTATTGGATTTTCTGAAGGTAGGGCCTCTTTCCATGTACGACTGGTTCTAATAGTTTATCGTTAGTGTGTTAACAAACAATGACTTAAGTTTGTTTAAATTTAACATTTATACAAATAAAACACCCTGTAAGATTGAAAAAAAAGAAAGAAGCGTTCAATCTGACTGTTCTTTGTCTTTTCATTAAGTTCGAGTCAGAGATCTAAACGTGACGAAATCAACAACAAACTTTAACTATACCACAAGAGAAAATTAAATTGTATTTATTTAGTAATACACGTGTATGTTTGTAAATACAGATATTTTACAGAACAACTTTATAACATATTACATGAAACTAAGAATATATATTTATCTTCATTGTATCAGAATCAGACGTCTCTTTATCATTTATCGCAGCCTTCCTGTTTACAATTAATAAGAACAACGCTTTGGGATCATGTCAACCGAATTTTCTCTGTCCTCCCATGTGTTTGAAAAAGACCACTTCCGGTTGTAACTGTGACTGTAGCAGCATGGATCCTTCTCATCCGGGGAATCTCGGAATTAATCCGAACCAACAGATCAATTCGGCAGGTATTAGTGTTGATAAATAAAAAATAAACCCAGGGTTTGAGAGACAAGAAACACGAATCGAGAATCATAGAGCCACTCTCCGTAGAACTACGAATAAGTATGAACATTGACCCCATACATATTGTGCTTCAAAGTTTTGATTATATTTCTTTTTGAAAATATTTCAAGGGGTAATGTCAGAGAAGAAAGCCCCATCTTTGAAGGGATTCTATAGGATACATGTAACTATTTTCTGTAGAGGCATCATATTTTTTACATTATTATTGTTTCCTCTTATTTTTTCTTCCTGTAGTACGTAACAACTCTTCTTCAACTTTTCCTTTACAATTATTGCTAGCGCTCTCGAGCGCTAGCAACTACGTTAGTCTATATTTCTGAAATACGCATGCTCGTCTTCACGGTCGGGGATTCTGGGAAAACTAATATAGATAGACTGTACGATAACAATTTCGTTTTGTCATACAAAAATAGAAATGATCCGAATTTACACTGGCCTTTCCTGTCTGATATGCGCGATATACATTTCGTAGGTTAGAGACCGGGCTGACTAAATACCAGTCTAGATCCGGATTCTGATTTTTTTATTAATTTATTGTCTAACCTACACATAAAAGTACAAGAAAAAATTTGGCCATATAATGCCAAGATTCTAGACATCTAGCTTTCCTTACAGTTTTACCACCTGGATAATTCCGGCAAGCTCGGAAAAAACAACAACAAAAATCTTTTTCAGAGTATGTCGGAAAGACATGTCAATTTAGTGTTTATCATCTGAAAATACATATGATCTGAAGTTTCGTGTTTTGTTGTCTAACCTGCACGTAAATGAACAAAAAGTAACAGTAACTCAGGTCTTATAAAACCAAGACTGTTATTTCTAAAGTTGTAATGAATACATAGCTTTTCTAATCTACCTTCATGGATCTTTCCGGCAAGCTCGAAAAACCGCGGCAACCTAGGATATGTTTTCCGAGCTTGCCGGAAAGGCCCGAAGATGCTTATTGGTTCTACTGACCTTTTATTTTTCACCTCGAAATTAAAATTACAGTAAAATACAGAATGCTTAAAGCACAGTTAGGAGTTATGCCATAGCCGACGTGAAGCACACTCTTAGATTCACCATTCTGAATTGTGACACCCCCCAACTCAACCCCCAGTGCACCAATCTGCCTTCCTATTAATAATTAATCGATTCAGCAAATTTAACAATGGTTCAGATATCTTCTTCTGTATCTTATTATGCTACAGCGCTAGCTCACCAATCTTTTTAAAAGATAAGCTTGTTCCCATTTCAACGTTAATGTTCCTCAGACTCAACCCATTACTTTTTTCTTGGAAGGTGCATCAGCAACACAAATTGTTTTCCTAATCTATCCTAGTATATTATTGTACATTAATGTCCGTATCAATGCTTTGATTCATTGTAAGGTCAAGGAACGCTGATAGGCACTGGTTGTAGCACAAACTGGATCAATTGTCGGTCACCTTGCGCAGCAGCTGTCAACCCCACTTCCGGTTGTGTAGAATGTAACTGCCGTAAGTTATGCTTCGTTTAGCTACACTAAACCAATCAGAAAGAGAACGTATGATTATAATGCGAAAAAGGCATGACTGTTCCCTAATCTAAAAATAATACGAAATACTAAGATAAAGTTTGATCTCATTTTTCTTCATATAGCCCTAAATGATTTTTTATCCGTATTTTTACAGCCCAAATTATGACGTCATCTGCGGTCACACAATCACCGACAATCACGACCTCATTCAGAAGCACCGCAGCACAGACATCCATAACATCAACGGTTACATCACATGCGACGACGACAGGAAAGGCAACTACCTCACATGTATCTAGTCACACGTCACAAACATCTTCCACAAGAGCCACAACACCATCAGTTAATACGTCACAAAAGGCTATTACGTCACCTGTGTTTAGCACTAAGTCACAACCATCTTCTACGAAACTCACAACACCATCGATGACTCCGGCTTTATCTTCGAGTACAATCTCAAACACTACAATATCGTCTTCCTCTGTCTCTTCGCCTTCTTCCACTAAATCTTTCAATTCTTGTCAGGGCGCTATTCAGTGTATTCTCAGCTGTAAGAATGGGTTTGTTATCGATCCTACACCAGGCCCCGATGGATGTCCTAGCTGTTCATGTAAAACGGGTAATTAAATAAAAAATCATAGAGAGACTTTTACTTCTGTAAAGAATGGCCTTGTAAGAGAAAATACTTTGGAATACTAGTACATTGTTTACTTCATGTATGTTTCGTTAATACAATTTTCATCTTCATCAATGATTTTTCTGACACTGCGGAACGTATATGATATGTTTAATTTGCATGAATTTCATTAAATCACCGTTTTGGAACAAAGAAATCATTCATTGTTTTATTATAAAGTATAATTCCTTGATTCCTTTATTAAATGATAAAACTCTTTTAAATTTGCCATCTTTCTTGGTTGTCTACTAAAGTCCAAGCCGAACGCATTGAGAGAACAAGGATTTCATTGGACAATAAAAATAAACAAAACTAATATTTCTATTTTTTGTTGTCGTACGTATATATATATATATAAAAAACCATATACTAACTTGGAATAACTCCGTCATAAAATATCTACTTTTTTTTCCACTAACTAACATAATCAAACGTTTTCATTTAAATTTACAATGTATATAGTAATAACGCACCATTCAACTCATGTTTAGTAGTTCAATATAATTTCATTTCAGTTCCAACGACGCTAAAGACAAATATGTCCTCTACGTCATTTAAGGTAAACATTGTCTGAAATCAAATAAAAGCAAGTACTGGTCTTATATCCAGATTTCAATTCTCTTAACTGGGCTTTAAACTTTTTTTCTTTTTGTTCTTGAAACCTGACTTCTTATGTTTTCAGATTTCAGTATTATTTCACACTGACTAGGGAAACATAAATACACCTGTAAGCAAATGTAATTTTAATATAACCAATGTTTCAATATGACTTAAATATTACTTGAATATTTCCTTAGCCTGTCAGTTTCCCAGCTCACATCACGATCTCGCCTTCAGTAACCACGCCTACCACCACGACACGTCCACCTAGCAGCACTCTACGTAGAATCGTATGTCCGGGGGTGTTCAATTGCTCCAAGACCTGTTACACTGGATACCGCCTAGACTCTCAGGGATGTCCACTGTGTGAATGTGCACCACAACCCACAGGGCTGCCATGAAAACTTTGAATTAAATTTAAAAAAAAAAACATATATGTTTTGGTGTGTGTTCTATATTGTTGTAAAGTTGGTGTATTTGGAGACAAATGGTCTCAGATAATACGACACAGAACAGTAACTAGAGCATACGCTCAATGAAATCCTAAATACTGTCAGCATGGTCAAAACTGATATGTACATTATGTACCCCAAATAAAGCTTGACCTTATGTAAATAACACTGGGTGAGGCTGACGACACATTCAAGACTGTAAACAGTATATGACCTATAATCTTTTTGTTTTCAACCAGAGAACGGACATTTTGAAATGTTATAATTACTTCAAGTCAATGTAAGAAACATCTTCAATTTAACAGATGTATTACATGTATCTAATAACGATTAATGACCTTAAGTTGTCCTAATTTCATTGGGTCAAAGTCATGATACACCTTTGGTCATAAACAAGAGTTGTGTATTAAAGAATACATTAACGTTCTTTTCTTTTTAGGATATCAATAGATCAAGTGATGTCCACGTCGTGCATTTTTTTTACTTTTCATTTGCCTATAACTCAGTACTTGCTCAAATACATTGGCCATAGTCATGAGACAACCTTAAGTATTGTAATAGTCATAATAATATTCCACTATCGCCTGCATATTCTGTTTATGTCTCTAAATTTATTCGGTACGCTAGATTATGCTCTGAGTACGATCAATTATTGAAAAGAGGCAGCCTAGTGACAAAAAAAATTGATGTAACAGGATTTTCAAATGTCTTAATCAAAGTCAGTATTCCAAAACTTCCTGGGTGATAATAACGACCTTGTTAGCAGAGACATTTTGTAATTTTAGCATCTTGATAACTTAATCAAATTTTCAAAAATTCATGAAAGCCATAACTTTTATAAATACGTAATATAATGCAATAGCATGGTACCAGTAAAGCCCAAGAAAAAAATATGTATTTATATATATGACCGTTCTGACGAATGAGATTTTCGTTTTTCGTTTTGTTATTTAGGGAAATACAACCCTCAGCAACGAACGATAATTCCTGAAAATAATGTTACATAACACGTTACAATCATTCGAGCCAACGTTGTTGTTGGCAAAAGCCGCTGAAAGAAAAAGTACGATTTTGTTATTATTATGAGCCCCAAAACAGATTCCCTTTCAAAAATAACTGACATAGTTTATCTCTTATGACACAGATTATCAACGACAAAAATAACTTTGACTAACCTATAGCCCGGATGAAGATTTACGCGCTGTTTTGTTATCGAGAGCGGTAGTGAATTTAAATAAAAATACCGTGTTTAGGAAGACACGTAGGAACGATAACTTATCACAAGGGTCCAGAGTTATCTCCCATTACTGACACCTGCACACTGCAATGTTAAAGAGCACGGCCCTACTAAAGACTGGCTAGTCCCAATAACACCGCGGGCTGAATAAAAGATAAATAATTAATTGTTACGCAGAGAAAATTAAACTCGTCAAAAATGTTTTCTTTACAAGTTTTAGGATTATTACCTATACTTTTCACCTGTACATGTAAGTAGAGTGTTAATTATTTAGGAGACTAAAAAGTTGTTTTTACCGTTGAATAAAAATTCTGATCGAGTATTGGGAAGATTCGGGTTAAAGTTTAAAAGTTTGAAGTATATTTTATAGCATTTCTTGGTCCCTACTGAATTGATGTGAAGATTAAAAAAAAAACGTACATAAATTGCAACGTACCCTGACTTTTGCTAATCATTCAATAAAATATAATTCATTTATTTTTCAAAGCCGGATATTATCTTTGTCCCCAAAACGTGCAGTGCCCGCCCGGATGTACTAAAATAGATACAAGAGGATGTAAGCTCTGCGCATGTGGGCCTGGTGAGTACAACATTACCTAAAATAGCATTGTGTATGAACAACTGAACACAACAATAATGCTTTGATAATTTTTTTTCAGTAGTATTTGCTTCAATGGGAGAAAATGCCTTCGCCCTACTGGCTAAAAAAAAAAATTCCGTATCAAATATCGTTCTTGAAAGTATTTTATTGAAAACGCATGAAAATTAATTTTGATTTACGCGAAGTTAAACTTATTCAAAAGAGACTACGTTCTATTACGAAATTTAGATTCGTATGTTTTCCTATCATATTTAAACCCCTGTAAATGTCTATTGAAATATATTTTTATTAAAGGAAAAAAATCTTCCCTACATTTCCAACTTTGAAAGAGGGCAAAAGGGTAACCGAAAGATATTAATTGCAGATGTGTATGTTATGTATTGACATTCTGAGAGATCAGATTTCTAAGAATGTTAACGATAAACAGAATCTTAAAAAAGTAAAGAAATGATCACAACGGGAAAGGAATTAAGTTGAAATAATTTAACTTTAATTAAAGTTAATTTGAACTTATTAAACTTTAAAAAAAAAGAATTACATTGAAAAATAAAAAAAAAATATATAAAAATTTACGTTTTATTTTAGGAATGTTCCATCCTGGAGGGTACGTGGGAATGCCAAAAGGTAAAAATATTTTTTTCCAAGAAGTAACAATTTAACTTTTTATATGAACTTGTTCATGGCAACATTTGACCATATCTCCGTCTGCAAGCATAGTAATTATAGTTTACAGTGATACAACTTGTAAAGAATACACACTAATTTTAGAAAAAAAGGACCTTCGATATTCAATTTCATCATGCGAATGAATCCAAAATCATTAATTTATTATATGTGTCAAAGTCAATATTGTGCGTTTTTATAAGTTTTTATTGAATCTGCCTAACTATTACAAAGAATTCAAGAATTTTCAGTCACTTAATTTTATGTTTACAGGAATGATGGGGGACTTTGGGGGATTCCAACCTGGTTCTATGGGAGGAGGTAGTCCTTTCGGAGGGATGCAGGTATGGTTGCTTAAGTTCGAATTATTTGATTTACCTGGACAAGTGAAAATACAAAGATTAGAGCATGACAGAAGCTTCAACTCATTGTGGTTGTCACTGCTTGAAGATTGTAAACAAAACCTTTGCTATAAGAATGTTTTAAAGTGTTAAACTTATTTAACCCTATCACTTGGAATTTTCCTTTTAAAAATGTATGAGTGAAGACGTAAATTAAAAAAAAAGTTCTAACCTTCCAAAAATTGCCTATTAAAATAAGTAACTTTGATTATGATCTAAATTGAATATAGTTCATTTCAAAATATCTCTTTATAATTCTTATGTCATGTCACAAATATTCTCTGTTTTAGTTTATTCGTATTCTTGACTTCTAATCTTGCAAGATTTAAACGGCACAATAATAACAGCACGTCTTTAAATGCAGGCGTAGTATCTTCCTGTGAGGGGGTGAATCAATTCTTCTTACTCCGCCTAACAAATAACAACTAAATAAATCGTTTGATTATTTGGTTGGTTGTAATACAGCAAGAATTGAAAAGAGACTAATCTTTGCTAACTACACGTTTGGTATTGATCTCTATTTATGTGGCTAATTTAATAACCAATTTCTTTAGAAAGTCTTTTTCTCCATACAATGATTATATTTAAACTTAAGTCATATATGTACATGTAGTTATTATCATAATCTGAAAATTTACAGACGTTATCAGTTAAAATAAAAAGTGACATAATATAAAGCATACATGGTTATTCTGATTAGTAAATGTTCTGACTTATTTTACGCTATTACAGGGAGCTAAACACGTGTCTGAGCGGCCATTGAAGGAGTGCCCCGGAACCATGCTGTGTATGATGACGTGTAAAGAGCACTACACTCTTGGTGACGTAGGCAGTAACGGCTGTCGATCATGCACATGTCCCACCCACCACGAAACGTCATCACATGGTAATTTACATAACAGTATTTCTTTAAAACTAAATGCGAGTCTACGCATTTAAGCGGACGTGTGAATTTTTATCATAATAATTTCTATCCATTAAAAAAACTGTACGCTGACAGTAATTTTTTAAAAGACCACTTTGAAGTAAGTAGAGGTATATATAAATTTTCCTCTCTTTGACGCATGTTTTTTTAAGCTGTGGTAGTGGTACAAACGTCGTCTCACACTAACTCTCACACATCTTCCCACCACGACTGTGCGGGCACAAAACTCTGTATGATGACCTGCCACACGAGGTATATGCTGGGGGAGAGGGGTGCCGATGGATGCCACTCCTGTACATGTCTTCCAGGTAATCATACGCATACCGCAGAGGTGGATCCGATTAATGCTATTTTTGACTTTTTTTACCAGGGTATCGTAAACTTCGATTTAGAATTAAAATGGAGAAAGAATCATGAAAGTCCAAGTGCTGTAAATATATACCAATGACCATTTAGAGAACGTCTGATGAGTTCTGCTTACTAGAAATAGATGTATCCCTATGAATTCAAAAGTTTTGAGTCATTTTTTTTTTCAATTTTTTTTTTACGTATTTTTTTTTTACCTTTTACGTAAGATTCGTTTATCTAAGAGTAAAATGTGATTTATAGAGATATTTCTTTAAAAGTTCTATGTACTATTTAAAAATGTTGATGATATTGCATGCCAATTCAAAAACATTATATTGTTAGTGAAACCAAAAAAAGAAAAGATCTTTAAAATGTTTACATTTTTGTTGGACAACCCTTGTATATAAAAGTCTTGAGATTATTCAGATAAAAAGTACACTCTATATACTTTACATGCAACATATTTTGACACAAACTCAAATGGTTTATGACAACAGCCCCAACAGAGGCCCCGAAACCTGCCCCCACGAAGTCATGCATGTCCACCGTTTTGTGTATGTTATCTTGCAAGACTGGATATTCACTGGGTGCAACTGGCCGTGACGGTTGTCAGACTTGCACGTGTATTGCACGTGAGTATATATAGGTTGAAATTGCTATGCTCCAAATGCTTTGCAAAGCAGCAATTCTTTTTTTTTTATAGTTCCTGTTTCTAATTTCGAATGATAATGTAATCTATCCGAACAAATGAATATAATCATTTGAATATAATGTTGTATACTTATATATAATGAATATAACCTTTGACCTGCGCACGCACAGTAACAATCATATATTTGTTTTCATTTAAAGCACCCACCCAACCTCCCACAACCCCGGCTCCAAAGGTCCTGACTTGCACCCACACGATAGAGTGTATGCTTAACTGTAAACAAGGGTACACTCTTGGAAACACCGGAACTGACGGATGTCCACAATGCGCATGCATAGTTCGTAAGTAAATCATTTGAATTAAGCTTTCCTATTCCGTACGCAAATAGATTGTCTAAAATTTATAACACAACGAGAGAACTCTGATTAAATCGAAAACAGATGGAAAATAATGAAAATACTCTTCTCTAATTACATACATTTGTATTACAATGTCTTAGTAAATATAAAAGTGAGAGAACCGTCTATATCACACCACTTCAAACAGGAAAAGGTATACTGTAGTCTATCTCCCTGTCTGTCCTTCACCGATCCACGGCTATTTGTATTGGAGTCTATTTTCTAGAACTTTTGATTGCTATGATGTGTTCAGTTGAGAATATATTTTGACTACCTTAAATTGTATCATAAAGTTTAATCAAGGATACATTCAAAGGTCCCTGGAAATTTTGTGTGAACCATTCCAGTTCATATCTCAAAGCTCAAGGTTATTGGATGAAAAGATGTGTACAAAATTATTCATAAATCAAAAACTTCGATACGATAATAATGATATATATAATCTTTGAAGTTGTTTGAAGGGTTAACCATTGCATGTGATATGTTTAATATTAATAAAAGGGGTGTCGTCAAGGTCATACAGTGAAAAATTACATGCAGTTGAGAGAGTCTGCTTTGACCTAAGGTAACACTACATGTATTATTGTTCCTGTTGCTTTCCCTTTATGAGGAAGTTTTAGTTTGGACCTTATGCAAAGCAAGAAACTTCCATTTTGCAATTCCTTTCTATTACTGACAGCAACGAAAGTGGTACAAGTGTTGACCTGTGCAAAGAATATACAATGTAACTCAGGTTGTGGCGCCGGATATAAGTGTGGAACCGACGGATGTCCAACGTGCGACTGTGTCAAACCAGCGAGTAAGTTAAAAGGGCAAATGATATCAAGCGATATGTACTTTTAACCCATATAATTTCTGATTAGTTGCTCAAAAATGACAAGTCTAACAATATGGTCCTCTATTCCATATGTACATGTACTCGTATGTAAATTTCTTTTGCCTCGTTTTGGAACTGTTCAGTTTTATGCAATATATGACCTGTCTTGATGACGTATACCTATTATGACGTCATTACAGCTGTGGGTCTGACCGTTGTGGAGGTGGTTAAGCAGCCAGTACGCTGCACTACAGCCTTCTCTTGTCCTGCCTCCTGTGAACTCGGATATAAGTGTGGTTCAGATGGTTGTCCGACGTGCGAGTGTTTGATCGCTATACAAACAGGTTTGTATGTTAACTTTGGGAAGCCAATAAATGGTCAAAGGGCAATATCCAAATCCAGCTAACATGGCGAGGGATTTTATACCGCTTCCTTACGAGAAATTACCGTGTTTAATGCTGTAAACCACACTATAATTAACATTACTTTGCTTTAGCAAGGCAATAGTATATGTACTTAAAAAAAAAAGAATTTCTAGATGTACCTTGCTTCCTTGTTAGGTAATATTCCTCAAGTATTTCGTTGAAATTATGTGAGCCTATTATGCTACTACTGTACGAATCATAACTAGAGTCCAACAATATCCAAAATTTCATAGTTAGTGGCAATTTTCATTTTGTTATCTTCCCTTTTTCACTTATCATACAATTCAGAATTTTCCTCCATCATAGGAAATAGACCATAGTCAAACCATACAGGCATGATTGTTATTTTCTTTCAAGAGTTATCTGTGAATGTTTAAAATGTTCATCCATTAATAATACTTGTGTCTGCTTAAAAGAGAGGCATTTTAAACAAATATAAGGTACTGCAAGGAAAAACTGAATAACAGTTTTACTAAAAAAAAAAACATGTCCTGACTTTTGACTGGAAATACAGTTCCTCAGACAACATCTGAGCCTTGTCAAGACTGCAATGGTGGGATAGCTGTCCCACAGCCATCACAAACAGATCACTGTAACAACTGTGATACAGGGCATGAACAAATAGTGTCTCATGTCTCTACTGGTGAAACTTGTCACAATGGATGTGATAACTCGGGACACTCAAGTGAAAGTTCGCAGTCTACAACAATGGGATCAGGAGGAATGTCTTCAAACTTCAAGCCGGGATCATTCACAGGAAACGGAGGAGGAATGCCATCAAACTTCAAGCCGGGATCGGTCACGGGAAATGGAGGAGGGGCGCCTTCTCCAAATGCTAATGGAGGAAGCGGAACAGCTAATGGGTCCGGTATGACTTCTCCATTTAATCCCAACACAAATGGGGGCATGTCGGGAAGCAGTGGATCAGGTATGCCCTCTCCATTCAATCCTGCAACCAACGGAGGATCTGGTACTGGTTCAGGAATAACTTCACCTTTTAATCCAAACACAAACGGAGGAAAAGGAAGTGGTTCAGGAATAACTTCACCATTTAATCCAAACACAAACAGTGGAACGGGAACTGGTTCAGGAATAACTTCCCCTTTTAATCCAAACACAAACGGAGGAACGGGAACCGGATCAGGAATAACTTCCACTTTTAATCCAAACACAAACGGTGGAACGGGAACTGGTTCAGGAATAACTTCCCCTTTTAATCCAGACGCTAACGGAGGAACGGGAACCGGATCAGGAATAACTTCCCCTTTTAATCCAAACACAAACGGTGGAATGGGAACTGGTTCAGGAATAACTTCCCCTTTTAATCCAAACATAAACGGTGGTAAAGGCACGGGAGAAGGATCCGGAAGTTCTATCGGATCTGGAATGCCTTCACCTTTCAACCCGGGAACCAATGGTGGCGGGATTTCATCGTCTGAAAACCTTAATGGAGGTGGAATGTCTTCGCCATTTAAGCCTAACACAGGAGGTACTGGTGGTAATGGGAACGGTGCAGGATCTTTTTCTCCAGGATTGCTGGGAGTTTCTGGATCTTCATCAGAAAATTCTGGTACTAATCCTCTTTTGCCTCAATTCTTGCAAGGAAGCAGTGGAATGAACGCCCATCAAACTATTGCAGGAGGGACAGAACCCGGAGCTGGAAACGTGGATTTCACTGCTGGTGGTACTGGTGGTAGTCTCACACAAATCAACACTGAACAGTCGTACGGTCATCAAGTTGATAACAGTCAATATAATGGACAGCAGACAGGAATTGTGGCTACTAATACAAACGGACAAGCTGGCGGAAATTTCTCAAATCCATTTGTGGCATCAGGAAATGGTGCTTTTACTAATGAGGGATTCAAACCGAGCCCTTTCATGCAGGCAGCAGGACAAAATGGTGGAAGTGGACCCTTTGCTGGAGCCATGACTTCCAATAACGCGACTTCTGTTGGTCCTTTTGCTACAGTAGGCGGAAATGTTAATGCAGGATTTTCAGAAAATACTTTTTCAAATCCTTTCCAAACAACCGGTGGAACGGGGGGTAATGCCGCAGGAAATAATGGGGCCACAGGCACAACAGGATTTGGAGGTAATCCTTTCCAAGCAACGGGATTCAGTCAAGGACCTCAGCCTTCTTTGGGTGGATCAAGTGGAATGATGTCCGGTGGCGCAGGAAATGGACGCCCTGGAGCAACTAGTGGTGGGATGAATCCGTCACAAGGAGGTGGTGCTGTTAGTACTGTAGGAAACAAACCAAATACTGGAGGAGGAATAGCAGGAAGTTTTAATCCATTACAGGGTGGTGCAGGAGGAAACAGACCTACAGGTTTTGGAGGCGGATCAGGACCAGGCATAGGAGGTGGTACTTTGGGAAGCGGAGGACAAGGGCCAATGGGAAACTTCCACACACCGAGCGGATATGGTGGATCAACGGGAGGAGGGCCAATGATGGGTGGATCTGCTGGTGGTAGTCAAACGATGGGCGGATCTACAGCAGGTGGACACGGAAGTAAAATAGATGTCCAGTTCGTGATTAAAAAATGTCCAGAAACAATGCACTGTATGACCATGTGTCCCTTGGGATACAGTCTCGGGGGAGAAGGGAAGGATGGATGCCCACTTTGTACGTGTCTGGGAAAACAAGGGGAAACGATGCAGGGGCTTCCTCACCAAAACACACTAAATGGACTTGGGAACCTTCAGAAGGGAATAGAAACAGGGAAAACGGCAGGACAAAAAGCAAGTATGTGTGTTTGAAACTTGTAATTTTCTGTTCAAATACATAAGCATAAAGCCTCTTTCTATAACGAAAATTTATGATATTGATGATATTTATAATATACGATGCCAGTGCAATTTGATTTGTAAAAATACTGCTGTTTATATATTCTGAATAAACATAATTTTTAAGAATCAAGAAACAAAAAAGTTAATAATATCTTCGCACTATAAACCTCACAACACTGCATTGATCCAGCAATCAATAAACACATCTTAAAGATTTTAAAATGTTGATCTCTGCTCAAAGATGATGTATATTCTTGATCATTTGTCTAGCAGAATCTACGTCGATTCTTTGCCCGCCATCATTTTCATGTTCGCTCACTTGTCTTCATGGATACGTGCCAGACCCTAACGGTTGCCCCTCATGTTCATGTCACATGGTCCCAGGTATTCCATTTTTTTAAGTTATGGTGAATCTGATATCATTGAGATACATATGAATGATCAATTTATTGCCTTAAAATAATAAGAAATGACCATTTTAATACTGTTCAAAATACTATCTTGTTTAGAAATTTGCCATACATTTATATTTCTTTCTCTTATGATGTCAGATTCCACCTCCGCATCTCTCTCCTCCATCAAATGTCAAGGCCACTTCTTCTGCTCCGATAAATGCCAGACAGCTTACATAAGCGGAAGTGATGGATGTCCGCAGTGCGACTGTGTGCCGGGTGCGTGTTTGATCATGCACGCTTGGAATCAGAAATGGACTAAACATCCGTGAAGATGTTACGTGTTTATCTCGCCTAAACCTGTCTACCATCTTTGTCTTCATCTTGTATATGTTCCTTTACCTTCATCAGAACCCATCATTTTCTCACAAATATCCAGTGTACTGCTTGAAAGTGCTTTATTTGTTTTTATTGTAAATTCTGAAAAAAGTATTTTTCATTACAAATATGCTGTACGATCTTGTAATGCTTTACTGTGTTTTTCATCAACTCAAATTGCAAAAGTGGGATGAACGACCGGGTAGGTGCAGTCTTGTACGTATAAGATACCAAGCAAAGAAGGAACTCGTGTATGGTTTGACTGTTAGAATTACAATGTATGTGGTTGTAAACTTCCTTCAACAAAGTTTTCCCTAAATGTTGTCTTTTTTACCAAAACACATTCCCCAAAACCACATAAAGCCTCCCTGCTCCGTCGGAAACTAAGGCATTAAGTCTCCTTGTGTAGCCAGGCGAAACAACTATTTTCCTTGTCTAAGGCTGAAATTTTTTTTCCACCCAGCATAGTTTTTTTTAATTTTTTGCTTAACTAGTACTTGTTTCCGGATTGACTTTGACGTGACTTCTCGGAATACATATATGTCATCAAGATTTATCTGTCTCATGTAAACGAGGAGCGAATTGTCATTTTCATACTTATTTCTCACTAATAACACAAAATCATTGGTGAAGTAAATTGTCTTATCACAAAAAAATAGTTGTGTTTAGGTGTAGATAGAGGATAGAGGAGCAACAAAAGCAGTATTGGAAGTCTTATTTATATGCCTTTAGAGAAAACGATATGATAACAATCGAAAGTGGTAGCTGAAAAACACAAAGCTTTATCTCGAGCCTTGCAAGAAATCACAGTATCATTTTTCACACCTAGAACCATTCTTTTCATTTCCTAATTTCAGTTCTTCTGTTTACTCATTAAAAAATTAGCTGTTCGGTCATTCATCACACTGTATCAGATGCTTTATTTTTTTAAACACAGTTGTATTATACATAATACTCTATTCTGTTGTTCTTATTTTTCCTATAGAATATTATCATCGATGTCGCTTGTTTGCGTTACGTGCACTTATAAAACTAAATCACATCCTCTCTTTCAGTTTCCAAACCCAAACCTCAACCTCAGCCTCAACGCCAACCTCAGCCTCAACCACAGCCTACCCACATCGACGCCCACGCCATTCTGGCACATTGCCCAACTACTATGAACTGCATGACGTCATGCAAGGAAGGATATACACTCGGTGGAACTGATGCAAAGGGATGCCCGAGCTGTTCATGCGCAAAGATACAGAAAAGTATGAAAAACTTTTAGTTTCATTTTGTTAAATATGCAAAGGAGCGTTCCATTGTTTTCAATGCTTTATTTTATTTTTTGATCCTTCAAGCTGACAATTGCAAAACTGGATGTGCAAAACAACCAACAGCAATCGCAGTCAAAACATGTGACGCAACAATTTCTTGTATGACATCATGTGACCATGGCTACACACTAGGAGAGAAAGGTCACGACGGTTGCCCTGCGTGTAGATGTGAAGCAAAATGCACTACGTGCGAAACTCATCCCATCGTAGTACAGAAGGTAGATGAATGTCACAACTGTGAACAGAAGCCAGTGGTTGTGGTTCAAAAGACCCCAGAATGTACAGAGAACTGCGGGCACAAAACACGTATGTCTAAATTATTTCAATATGTAAGATTTTTTATTTTCATTTCCATTTTAATAATTTAGTCAAAGTAAGATTTATTCAGTAAAAGTGATTTGATAATCACAAAATTTGGAACTTTTTTTAAAAATAGTCATTACCAAGATTTTTATCACCAAATCAAACAGTAAAACGGTAACAGTATAAAATAGTAAAATTTATTCCAGAAACATATGTGGCTGTGAGTGGATCTAGTGGAGGTACCTCTGGTGGTGCCGCGGGTGGCAGTGGCGGATATAGTGGCACATCCAGTGGTCTTTCAGCAGGAGGTGGCGGTATGTCGGCAGGAGGCGGCGGTATGTCGGCAGGAGGAATGGCGGCTGGTGGAAGCGGGGGAGGTAATATTAATATCCATTTAAAAGCATTTGAAGCGTGTCTGTTCCATTTTCTTATTATTACAGTTAGAGCTGACTTGATTTGAACGTACAAAGTAGCTTATAAACAGATGCTTACATTTTATCACTTCTCCATCAAAACAGTTATGAGAGACGATCAATCTTTCTGTATAGAGTATGACATAGTGATCTGCCTATTGTGAAAATTGACCGGCTTTCAGTACTTTTAGTACTTTGATTAGTATACATTTTCCCCATAGGTGCTCAGTGTAAACCTCTTCCTCCAAATTGTCATCCACATTGTATAAAGTATGATGTAGCTCACTGTCGACTTTGCATGTGTGAAAGTGGTAAGTGTTTTTTTTTTCTTCACTGTAAATAGTATGAGTCACTGTTCCAGTATGATGTAAATCGTTCTCGATTGTGTGAAAGTGGTAACTATATAATCACTTTCGACAGTATATGTGTGAATTTGGTTAAGTATTATATAAATAGTGCACGTTTTTGAGGGTAACAGTTGAAAATGACACCCCAAGGAAAACCATTGTCAACCGACGCGTCAGCGGAGGTTGACAATGGTTTTCCGAGGGGTGTCAATTTCAACTGTTACCCTCAAAAACGTGCACTATTTATTTTATTATACTGAATGTCTTATTGATTTCGGGTGTCATAAAAAAAATTCGGAGATCGTCGTTAAGTTCACGCTTAGAAAGCTTTCAAAATCCCCGCTTCTATTTTTGTCAATAAGAAAGCTTCGGAAAAGATTTACCAACCTCTTTATCGTTTGTTTGCTACTCAAAAAGTACTTTATCATCTAAAGTTTGCACTCGCAAGGATGTTTCGTCTGTCGTTTGTTGTTTTCAAGTAAGCTACATCGGACGCAAGCTTTAATTGACGTCGTTTATTTGGCTTCTTTCAAACGCACAACCGACGTTTTGAGAATTCTACGGTGAACCGTACGCGCATGATTTGAACGCATGTGATATTTTCGTAATGTTACCCGTTGTCAAGTGTGTTGCTAACGCTGAGGGTAACATTACGGATTGTTAAATGCTTCTAAACCAATCAGATTTTAGTATTTAACATGAAAGTATAATAAATATAATTACCCACTGTATAAAGACTGCCGACTGTGCGTGTGTGAAAATGGTAGGTACAATAAAGTATGACGTGGATAACTGTCGACAGCGCGAAATGTGAAAGTGGTAATTATAAATTGCCATCCCCAATGTATATAAACAGCTGACTATACGTATGTGAAAATTTAAGTATCATAAAGTACCGTGAAAATTAATGCCGACTGCACATGTGTGAAAGTGGTAAGTATAATAACATAGGACTAAAATCATTGCCGACAGCTGTAGCCAACAAGGCGAAGTGGTTAGAGCGTCTGCTCTAGAGTTGCAGAGTAAGGAGTTGATCCTTACGTCGCGGGTTCGAATCCCACTGCGGGAAATGGAGACCCGTCCTTCGGATGAGACCGTATAAACCGAGGTCCCGTGTTACAGTAAATGCTGGTCACAGTAGATGCTGGCACGTAAAATATCCCTCACTGCTCAATGGCCCTGAGTGCCGAGCATAGGTCAAAATTTGTAGCCCTCCACCGGCAAGTGGTGGCGTCTCCATATGAGTGAAAAATTCTCAAGAGGGACGTTAAACAACAAACAAACATTGCCGACTGCTCATGTATGAAAGTGCTACTGTATACAGGGTTATTTCCGCCCTGTTTTATTTTCGCCTTTTCACACTTGCAAACAATATTGCTTCGTTTTAAACTCGTTGAGAAACACTTGTGTCAAAGAGATAATTTGATTTTTTTTAATCAACCCCTTTTTGAATTCGCCCATTTGCCACAAGGGCGAACACGAAACGGGAAAATTACCCTGAAAATAATGTGAATTAAGTATAAAGTTTAATGTAAATTATTGTCGACTGTGCATTGTTAAAGTGCCACGTATTCGACAAAATTCAGGTAAGTTTATTTAATATTTGTTATATGAGTCAAACTATGTGTTAAATAGGATATTTGTAACAGATAAATATTTGATTTATTGCTATTATGAACAATTATGTGTTTGTATCTTTTCAACGACATCGTCTTATATCTTTTCTTTTCGTTTTCTTACAGAACCCATTCATGGATGAGTAAACATTTCTACTGTTACAAGTATTCCGATTTCTTTGTTACGCATCACTGCATATTGTATTAAACATCTATTATAAATAACACATTTTTTTTTATATTTTTGATATCCATGGTTATACCGCTAGCATGGTTAGGGTTGATATAAAATATTCAATAAGGGATAAGGTTAATGGAATACCTATCATAAAAAGATGATTCCATTCATATATATCTGACTTTGCTTACTAACAAACGAGGAATCCGTGCCTCTTATTGGAAAGGTGGTATTTCAAAGTCATTATGTGTTACTTTTCTGTAGAAAAATAACTGAAAATTCACGGAAGGGAAGGGGTCCGAACCACCATGACACCCCCCCCCCCCACTAGATCCGCCACTCATGTCTTAGAATTTGATGATTATCCTTATGGTATCTTGGTATAGTGATGATTTAAGGTGCGCTTGATTTGTCTATCATACATCTAGTACATCTGGTGTAGACGATTTTCACCTTATAATCAAGTGAAATTTGGTGTAGTGGCGCATACATGTATTCAATATGAACGTCGAAATTTCGATCAGCTGAGGGGATCCATTTTGCAGCAGATTTTTAAAAAAAATATTATATGTTGCTATTGTGTACAGTTTCTTAAATCCATTTGAAAAACATCGCATTTATGAAAAGGCAAATAATTTTGAATGAAACATATTGATATCCACCTATGAATAACCATATAGCTAATAAATATCTAGCCATACTGTAAAATATATTGTGACTTTATCACCATGACATTACAAAAAAAAAATTGTTGTGGATGATTAACAAAATACCAAGCGTTTTCATTTTTACATAAGATGCATTGAACACTAGAAAAAATTACCAAACACAATTCACTGCAATCTACTTATTAAAAACTTGACAATAGTCTGAAATACTGAAAAATAAAATTCTACAGTTTTACCGTCTCGACATTTTTCAGTCGTATTGAATTTTCAGTGTGTTTACCAAGGCAACACATGCTCTCTGCAGGGTATAAATGGTGTACACCAAAAAGTGTAAAACTTGGGCACTTGATTATGAAAAAAAGTGTACACTTTGTGTCCGGTATAGACAAATAAATCGCTCCCTTTTATTTTGATTCTCACTTTGAAATCCTATCAAATACAAAACAATCAGGTCTCCATTTTTATTACATTTTGGAAACAATATACGATGAAGAAAAATAAGATAAAGAATGAAAACTAAGCCCTATATTGAGAAACTCTTGATATTAAAATGAAAAGCTTTCTTAGCCTCAACACTTATTCCCGCGAAGGCTATGACCTTGTTTTAGATCCAGTACGTCACGGGCTGAAAATCCATTCATACTTGCTTTTAGGTTCTGTATGATATTCTTGTAAATTGATATGCGAAATTTGAGGTACATGCATCCCCCAGTTGTTGCCAATAAACAGAGACCGAGCCCGACATTTAAGAAAACGAAGGAAGAGATCTGCCAGCAAAAATCATCTTTGGTTATAACTTCTGAAAATAGAAGATTACAACGTCTAATTAGTATGACCATATATCAAAGAATAATGATGGCTTTTATGATGACTTTCTAGATTTATTTCCCCTGAGTTCAGCTGGAATTAAAGACAGTTTAAATCTAACAGTTTATCTGTAAAAAGTTTAGAATAGATCTCATATCATCTCATATGCATAATATGAAAGATGTCTTTAAAATTGGTAATCGAGATTTAGATTTCTAAACTGTTTAAAGAAAGATTCTGAAAGTGTACATCCGTACATGCAGCCTACAAATTAACAGCTTGAAGAAACATTTGTTAAATTGTCCCTCGTTAATTAACTGATGAGGATAAACATTACTTACTTATCCTGGAATATTTGTCCACGATATCAATTCTTGCTCCGACATCGATGTCGTCATCTCTCCGTCTTGACTGACGCTTCTTCCGGCTGCGTCGGAAGTCACGTGATGAACCGGAAGTAATAATATATCCAAGATGACTCCCTATTTCTTTTGTTCCCCGCCTTTTTCGACCCCATCCCTCGTACACATCCCCACATAACGACTTGAAAAAAAATCTTTCTTTTCAATATTTTTTTCATATTTCAGATTAATTTTTCAAAACTGAAAGTGTTTCAAAATATTAGTAGAAAATTTATGAAATTTATTACAAAATTAACACATGATCTGCCGTATAAGGAGCTCCTGATTAATTTATACTGTTAAAATATTGACAACATCTGGATTATTATATCCTAAAATAAGGAATTTTGAAACTACATCTGTAGACAGGTAGATCTTGAAAAACAAATAAATATGCAGTAGTGAACAATATATACGAGAAGTGATGGTAATCAAATGTGGATAGTAAAAACATGAAAAAAGAAATATTTTGCTGTGGCCTTCAATTCGACATTTAAACGTGAAGGCTTCAACTATTCTATTTTCAATCTTCAAAGATTGGTATCATGTCCCCTAGTTGATTCCATACACAAGTCTATGCATACTAAAAAAATGTTTAACCGAAGCAGGCGACTGACAAATAAGTTGATATTACAAGGGTATAAACAATCTCTTTTAAGATAAACAGTTCGTAATATCTTTGGTCGAGACGATAACTTTGTTTGCAATTACAACATACGATTAGGTCGAATGTTTACAAATATTTAATGCAAATTGTTCGGCATTTCTTTTTCATTCTAAATTATTTATAGATTATTCCGTTTGCAAATTCAAGACAAAGAGCTCAAGGTGGGTGTGCCCGGTTGACAGAGGATGCTTCCTTACTCATGCCACTTGACGTTTTTATGAGGTCCGCATTTGTTCTGCAGTCAGTTTGTTTTTAAATGGACTTTTGAGCATTACTATTGTTCGCTTTCTTCAGGCACCTGAACTCTATGTAAGAATTGCAGGAAAGGGCTAGTATAGTGAATTTATTATGTATTTAACACTATACATTAGTGTTTGGGAGAAACACTGCATTCTTTTATCAATCCAAACTGGAATAATTACACTAAGACGCAATTAAATAATATTTCCCTAACACAGTCAATATCACTTGAATCCATTATTGTCCCTCCAAATACAGAACTTAATTTCCTTCAATGATATTCACCTTTGACTGTTAACTCCCAATCAGTGACGTTTTAGATGGAGCCTTTATTTAAGTTAATTATAATACTACGGTTTATCATTTCGTTAGTTTGCGAGATATTACGACCTCTCTTATAATGACATATATATAAAAATCCAGATCACAAGAACATACAACTTACCGGATTACAGTAATTTTTGCAGAGTTCCAGAACACACGTGAAGTTCATTGTGACCACGCCCCCTTGTAACGATGTTTCCCGAAAGGCTCCGAACTCGGAGATGAGAAAACCCCGTCTGAATCGCCAGAAGTTCGGGAAAAGGCCCGGATCAGTAGCACAACTAATAAAATATCAAATAAATTTAGTTTTTCATTCTTTATCTCTTTTTTATTTAAAGATGTGAAGATGAAGTTTTCATTAATTTTGAACCTTTGTTGTAACAACAGAACGTCACGTACTAGTTGTCGATTATGATGATACTTCCGGCTGCGCAGTATTTCGCCTTTATGTCGAAGTCATCTTAAAATAAATGAAATACATGTGTATTGTTTGTATGAAACTTAACATTTTTATTTAAGAATTATCAAAATGTCGCTCTTTTTGAGCTTTAATATCGAATCATTTTTACTTCACTAGCATGATTCTTGTTAACATACTATACTTAATACTTAATATATTAAGCGGTGATCATAAATACATGTAACTTCGGTCTTTAGTGCTGCTTTTTTCGCTAATTCAAGTGTAATATGTGAATAAACCAATTATATATAGAGATCTGGCTTCAAATGCGATAATATATATGATCGCGCTTTACAGTTGATGAGGGCAATAAAACTATATTTTGAATGCGTTATTCTTATCATTTTGAGTACGTTTACGGTAACATTTTTCAGACTGTTGTTATTTTCCTTTTCCATATGCGTCGCATTCTTAACTTGATTCCTTAACGTCCAGAATTCTGTGAACATTTTGATCTTTAAGTGACCCTGACCTTGATACTCGGCTTCTAATTTCAAAGCCATAAATAGGCGATCAGATAGTTTGACTTCGTGTCCGCTGACCTCTATCTCTGACACGGCCTTGAAGAACTGCATTCCGGCGTTTGGACGTACTGTGACATTAAGTCCGGCGCTGTCCACTGTGTCACTAAAAAGAAAGTACAAATAGAAAGTACAATAAAACAATGTGTCTTTTTATTCTCTTGTTACTGCTTAATTTTATAACACTGATCACTTTACAGGTAGATGTTCGATGTCGCTAGCCATTTACACGTCAGAATCCATTATTTACAACAGTCAAGATGTCGCTCGATATTCTTAATTATTATATATTTCATTACTCGTGCCCCTGAAGCTTGGACAAATAAGTTGATGAAACAAGGCTATCAACAATCACGTTTAAAATCAAGAATTCGCAAATTTTATTGTCGATACAATGGCCCTGTTTGTAAATACAATCTGTTGCTAAGTCGAATGTTGACTGACGTCTGTCATACAATTTGTTAGGACATTTTTTTTCACGCAGAATCCTCTACAGAGTTTTCCGATTTACCCGATTAGGACAAGAGGCACATGTCGGGTGTGACCAATCGACAGGGGATGCTTACTCCTCCATGGCTATTGATCCCACGTCTGTTTTAAGAGTTCCGTGTTGTCTCAATTATTTAATTGGACCACAATCGTTATCTTCACATTTAACCAACAAATATGTCTCCATACCTTTATACAGTGCTGTATATACATTAGTAACACCCAAAAGGGGTAAACCCAAGATGCCCCACCCCTATTTACATATCTGGTAACCCGACCGACCCTAACTTTTACCCACTCGCCCTACTACTTTTTTTCCAAATCCGGATTTTTAACTGTACTTTTGTTCACAAGTACATTTTTCTCATAGTGAGTCAATAAAATGCATGTCTCAGATACTGTAAAACCGTGTCTAACAGTTTTAAAGAGTACACTTGTTTTGTTGTATATGTTCAATATTCAAATCAATTGATGCTTTTCAAAATAAAAATGCAAAGTTTAAAAAAAAAGTTAACACTTATCTTATTTTTTTTTGGCATATCACCGGAAGTAACACATATTTTTTTTATTTGGCCTTACGGTACTTACGCCCCCAGTAGGTTAGAGGCGACGATGTCACTTGTGTCGGCGACACACAACACGGGAATTTTCTTGTCCCCTCCAGTCTGGTAGCCCCTCTCCTTCTGTATAATGATCCTCAGGACCAATTGCTTGGAAGAGGAAAGAAAAAATATGAACAAAGCAAACTGAATCACTTTTAAATCATAAATTAACAAAAGTATAAAATATGGCTAGGGGTGGGGTGGTGTGGGAGGGGTGCAGGGCCGTAACTACCATTGAGGCAAATGCCCCACTAAAATTTTATAGCATTCTGAAAAGTGAATTTTTATAAAGATATAAATATAAACAATAAAATGTCTTTCTTTGTTTGTTAGTACGGGAATTAACGCCGCAGCTATTGCAGAAAAAAATCACATAACCCGCGTACGCGTTATGTATTTTTTCTGCAACAGCTGCGACATTAATTCCCGTACTAACAGCCAAAGAAAGCATTTTATTGTCTAAATTAACTCTCTCCGGCCCCTGTTTTGCTTCCGATTTCTATGGCTAATAACTCATTGATAATTTATTAAGAGGTACATCATTCTTACCCAGGATATGCCACACGAGGCGAAATCAAACTGATACAATACTTTCTGAGGAGATGTCTCTAGTCGACAAGCGTCACCTTGACCAAGAATGTATATGATCCCAGTGCTTGAGGCGTTTGTTACCCTGACAACAAGGGTGTCCATTGTACAACTTATAACTGTTACTGAAAGACAAAAAAGAAGCTCTTTATCCCAACTCAAAATAAGATTTTAAGAAATTAACTAGAGATCTTTTTTTAATCCTGGGTTAATTCTACGTACAAGATATAGTTTCCAGCACAATATGCATATTGACGATGCCACCATCGCGTTGGGACGAGCGCACCTGTTTAATAAATACTAGATAGTTTCCAGCATTATACATGTATGTTGAGGATGCGACCGTTTAGGCGAGCGCAGTTGTGTTTAAATAATTACTAGATAGATATTCACTTTTGCCTCTCCAAACCGCAAGAGTAATTTGGAAGATATGTAAGTTGCATTTCCATAACAAAGTCTACAAATGCGCATTTTTTTTTTTACAAAGAGCTTTTAATCTAATATCTATTTGCAATTACCATTAAAAACACTGGGTTATTTTTTTAATAATTGCGAACTTTTCTTTTGGTTATACCTTGAGAACGTAAGCAAGATAGCAGTACAGTATTTCTGGAGAAACATTCTATTTGCAAACCATTCTGGGTAGCTAGTACCGATATAATTGCAGATAAAAATTCTATTGCATCAATTGTGCTGAGGCCTGAATTTTTCTCTTCTCCCAGACATAACACACATGGTGGCAATTTCCTTTGCTATTATTTTTTTTTATGTTTCCGTCCAAACAAAACAGAATACAAACAGAAACATATAGTTTTCTATCCATTCTTGAATGTTTTTTTGAATTTTGCAGAAAAACGGGAATTGCGATCTAACTTGAACACTGGCGTTTATGTGTCTTGTGAATTTTTGCAGAGAGTTTTACTTGAAATGAAAGCAACATTACAACAGCAGAAAAACTTCAGCAGCCGCAACAATTAAAACAGCGGCAACAACAAAAGTAATATCAATACCGATGTAACTGCAGAAAAAATTCTACAACAAACACAACAAACACAACAAGTGATAACAGCAATTAAAACAACAGTGACGATAACAGTTATTATAACAGCTACAACAACGAACAACAATAATAATAACAACAGTGACGATAACAGTTATTATAACAGCTACAACAACGAACAACAATAATAATAACAACAGTGACGATAACAGTTATTATAACAGCTACAACAACGAACAACAATAAAGATAACAACAGTGACGATAACAGTTATTATAACAGCTACAACAACGAACAACAATAATGATAACAACAGTGACGATAACAGTTATTATAACAGCTACAACAACGAACAACAATAATGATAACAACAGTGACGATAACAGTTATTATAACAGCTACAACAACGAACAACAATAAAGATAACAACAGTGACGATAACAGTTATTATAACAGCTACAACAACGAACAACAATAATGATAACAACAGTGACGATAACAGTTATTATAACAGCTACAACAACGAACAACAATAATGATAACAACAGTGACGATAACAGTTATTATAACAGCTACAACAACGAACAACAATAATAATAACAACAGTGACGATAACAGTTATTATTACAGCTACAACAACGAACAACAATAATAATAACAACAGCAACAACAAATCAGTAACAACAACCACAACTGTGATATAGATATTTTCAACAACACTTCTCACCTTCCCGCTCCATCTCTCAATAGTTTACATAAAAAAATTACAATAAATAAATAAACAACTTACATTCTGCGTTAAAAGCCTGGGGATTATTGGTAAAACAACCCAAAAGGAAGGCTCCAAGTAAAACATAAACACCTGTAATAAGTAAAAGATTGATATTAAGATGGTCAATTTGTGTATTAGCTTATTTTATGTATGCGTGTTTGTAATCAATTCAAGCTCAGATGTAAACAATCAGGCGTGTAAACCAGGCAAATCAATTATTAGACTCCCGTATAAAAAGATCCTACTGTACATTAATTCGCTAAAACAAAATTGATGATCATTAAGATTTTATTTTTCATATATTAAAAACAAACATAATGCTTTGAATTATAATCAAAGTATGAGAATTCGGTAAAGAAATATAAAAAAAATAAAAATAAATAAATATGAAAATGACGATTTAAACCAATGTGCTCAGATTGTTATAGATACTTTTTTTATGTCTGGAAGGTTTTACAATAAAAACATAATCTTACCTGAAGTGTACATTGTTTTATTCTTTCGGCCATTAGTGTATTGTGTATTAAAAATCGATTCAGAGCAGCGACATTTTAATTATTTATATACTTCTAATTACTCTATGAACTCTGTCGATATTTTATATGTATGTTTGTGATTATTGAATTAAGCATAGTTTCTAATACCGTACACGTGAAGTAGTAACTCTTTATATAACTCCACGACCACGTGTACGAAGTCATCATCCTTTAGACGAGTTGTCTCTCCTTTTCTGTGAAAAATATTTTGAAGATTAAGAAGATTTGATGCATCTAATTTTTCAGGGTGTGTTTTTCATTTCAACGTCAACGTTCGATATGAATTTGGTTATCCAACCTTATAGTTTTTAACTGTCAGCCAATAGAAAATCCGCAGAATCTGTCAACATTTGTACAATAATAGCGAAGATAGCGAGGGAGACCCGGCAAAGACGAAGAAACTTGTCTCACAATAGTTTGATTTTTTCATCTTATCACACGTATTAACCAATTTTATTCACAAAATTAACATCAAAGTACTTTTTATTGTTCATTTTCATTATAAAACTTTTTTTGCAAGTACATGTAGTTTACAAAGGCTGACGGACAGGAAAAAATAATTTCTCCATCACAAAACGTTACCGTAATCAGGGCTACAGATTCTACAGATTCTGAAAGATAAGAATAAAAAAAAACGAAAATATTACAAAAACTTATACCTTAGAACTAGTTCGTATTTCTATAGTTTTTGAAATACACTTTAGGAATTAAATTTTTCAGCATTTTTTGTAATGAGACTGCGTTTGTCGTTGATAACTCCGTTAACAGTGTGCAATTCCTCATCTCTCTATCACTGAAATGTCGCCTATGACGTCATTTTTCGCGAATGCATATTGCCGTATTTGAATTTCATCTCTCAATATCGGTTAAGATATGCATACAACAACGCGTTTACTGAATTCAGTATTTTAATAAACAAGGTTGTAGATAATATTATTCATAAATTTACAATTTTTAAGAGCATGCGATAAGTCCTTGAAAACACTTTCAGAAATATTCAGTTTATATTTCGTTTTCTTTTCTTATCAGAGACTAATCATAGTGAAAAATCTGAATTTAATGTCTTTTATTTTTTGAATTTATCACAACACCTGGAAAGATATAATTTACAATGATAGAGGGCTCATGGCATTGTGAACGATCAAGTGAGGATGTTCATTCCTCTTGGGCACCTGATCCCACCTCTGAAGTCCAGCGGTTCGTGTTTTGTCCTCTTCATGATTCGGAGTTTTATTTACTGAATTTATGAGATTGATCACTGTCCGTTATCTTTACTTTTTTCATACTAAATTTTTTATCTACCATCAAATCAAACTTGATCGTTGGCGCGCGTTTTTTCCCTTACTCTTATTAGTTTGAACATTTCTTTCTCTCATTCCGTATACTAATCAAGCATGAAGTATTTTTTTTGAAATTGTGTATTGGGGGGGGGGGGGCAGAAAAATAATCTTTGACAACTGAAAAATCTTCGACAAGCAGAAGAAAAGGAAAATTGTCCAAACTCCTATTTCATTGGGGGAGGGGTTGGGGTAGATTCCAACTTTTTTCCCAACTATTCCAATTTTCTCCACAAATACACTTTATTAATATATACCCAGGGGACGGTTTGACTTTACTGATAGAATATTTGGGGGGGGGGGGGGGCTAACTGGTCCTTCAATGAACACTTTCAATAGCAAAATTTTGTTTAGAAAAACACACGATACTACGTGCCTGCTAATGTAACTCCTGAATTATTTGAGGGTAGTCCAGGTAAATGAAAGGGGCGGGGGGGGGGGGCTAGGAAGAAAAGGTAAGGAAGACGACAGAAGTGAAAGTGAAAAAGAATAGTAGGGGATGGAGGGTGGTGGTAGGTCAGGGTTTAGAGAAAAAAAGGTCTACTCCCAACACACTCGATAAAGAAAAAGTACTGTGGTTTTTCCTTGAAACTGATAAACCTGATAAACATCAAATCTAACCAAAATAAGATGTCTTAGATCCGCGCCGTATACACACTGAGTAGGAAGGCAGAGTGTATACGGCAAGGATCTAATGAAATATGGAGATAACGACGCCCAAAGTCCATTAAATCAATATAACTCGGAAGCAGAGCAAACACAGACCTCCAAAAACATCAGAGGCGAATTAGATGCCATGGAGGAGTAAGCAACCCCTGTCGAATGGTCACACCAGCAACATGTATGCTCCTTGTCATGATCGGGTAAACGGGGGAAAAAAATCCGTAGAAATTTCAGTGTGTAAATAATGGCCTAACAATTAGTATAATGAAAAACGTCAATCAGTATTTGAGTTTATGATAGATTGTATTTGCTGAGGTCGTTGTATCGACCGTATAACTTGCGAAATGATGACTTCAAACGAGACTGTTGATATCCTTGTTTCATCAACTTGTTAGTTAATAGCTTTTCTCGTTTAAAAAAAATACCGTACGTAGAGCATGCTCTTATGTATCGAATCAACTGGGAGATATAAACCCCATATGCAGGTGATAAGGGTGTTTTGCAACATAAATAAAGGAAGTTGACGATAAAAAATATGAAGTCATCACGTTAATCATCATAAAGTTTTGTTGTTAGGTTTCCCTAGTAAAATATCCAAATACGAAACAGATGTGCCAGACTCTGTGGTGTCTTTTATTTGTCCCCTACCGGTGAAACCGGAGGGGACTATACGTTTCCTTGAGGCTGTCCGTCCGTCCGTCTGACTGACTGTCTGTCCGTCTAGCCGTCCCTCTGTCTGTCTGTCAGTCTGTCCTACTTGGTTTTCCGCACTTATTTTCTAAACGCTTGCAGATATTAAGCTGATTTTTGGTATGTCAGTGAATCTTGATTAGTTACAGATCAAGTTTGCCTTTCGTTCCGCTTCAATGATTTTTGACGGAATTGCGACTTTTAAAAAAAAAAAATTCCGGGTTTTCCGCAATTTTTTAAACGCTTGCAGATATTGAGCTGATTTTTGTATGTGACTTTACCTTGATGAGTTATAGATCAATTTTGCATTTCGTTCCGCTTCATTGATTTTTTGACGGAATTATGGCATTTTCAATTTTTAACGGGAACCAGATTACACTCGCCTGTAGGGGACTAGTATTGCTAATGCAATACTCTCTGAATGCTTGTGTCAAGTTCACTAGGATATATCGAATCAACATCTGAATGAAAGTAACTATTGTTAATTGATATTACGCCGTTGATAAATCTAAATGTCGAGTTGAAGGCCACAGCAAGCGTTTTCTTCTTCTTATGTAGAAGATCTTGAATAAATTCTGTTTCATATGAATACAAAAATAGGTCTGCTAATAACGGGGCCAGATTGATACCCCTTGGGAATTCCAACAGATTGTTGGAAGACTTGATCTCCAAATACTACAAAGATATTGTCAATCAGAAACTCAAGCATCTTTTAATATCAGCCCCAGAGTACCTGTGTGTATAATCAGAATGTTTTTAACAAAATAAATTTGCAAATGACCAATGACAAGGTAAGTATATTTACGAGTTCCATTTTTTATTGAAAAAGCAGCTGTCTAAATGATATAGAGACTGTTTCAATAAAGGTTTTTATTTTACACAATTTTATTGTAAAAAGCCTAGACTTTAATTTTTCGTGGGGAATGGTTGTATAAATTGTTGAAAAGTCGTACGTTTTGATGTTATTGATTTTGGTAAAATTTTGAGAAGTCTGATTTTAATAAGATTGGAGAAACAGTGTGTGTTTTTTATTTTATTTGGTATAATTATGTAAAGTTCTACTTTAATGGTTAATGCTTTGGGGTGCAAGAGTGATTGAGAAACAAAAATAAATAAATAAAATAAAACATTTTAAAAAACACACACACAAACGAACAAGCAGTTAGAAACAAACAATATAATAATTAAACAAAACAAATACAAAAAGGTATGAAGTGTCAGACCTCAAGTACTTCTATTTATATCCAAATGTGTGTAAGTTTGATAAACCTTTTAATAAAAAAAAAAATACAAATAAATTGATAAAACTTTGTAAAAGCCCTGTTTACTTTTCTTGACCCAATTTTATTAGTATTTAAGAAAGTAATAAAATTGAATTTATCAGTGTTTTTCAATCACATGTAAACAAGGAAAGTTTATGTTGATGCACTAATTTGCACTGGATGTTTACCAACTTAAAACGGATGTTTACTAATTTTTACTGAAAGAAGATAAATTCACACATTGATTTTCATTTATAAATGTGTCTCTTTCTTAAAGTGATTTAATCCGCATCTTTCAATGACTGACCGACTGAGATAGAGTCACACATCAATGTATCTTTTTCTTAAAGTGATTTAATCAGTGACGGAGCGACTAACATATAATCACACATTGATTTTCATTTATAAATGTGTCTTTCTTTTATTATTAAGTGATTTTATCCGCATTTTTCAGTGACTGAGCGACTGAGGTTATAGTTAAAACTGGTGTTACCTGGAACGCCTAGAAGATGAATTTCTCAAGAAAACGTTCATTGATTGTGTAAACACATAAATATACATGTATATATATTGCCATCACACAATTTTTATCTGAAATAAAATTGGTGTCACTACTATTCTCTTTTGCAATAAATATTTTTTTGAAATAAAAAATGTAAAAGGACAGAATGCAT